GTCTCCAGAGCCAGTTAAGTCTCCTAAACGAGTGAAATCTCCTGAACCCATCAGCAGTCCCCCTAAAGCTAAGTCACCACCTGGAGATAAAACAGTACCAGCAGAAAAAGTACAATTACCAGCTGCTTCTCCACCAAAGATAAAACAGCATCTGAAAGCAGAAGCTCTTGGAGATAAGGTAAAGTTATCCTGTGCAGTTGAAAGCAATGTTTTAAGTGTTAGAGAAGTAGCTTGGTATAAGGATGGTAAAAAACTGAAAGACGACCATCATTTCAAGTTTCATTATTCAGCAGATGGCACTTATGAGCTCAAAATCCATGAGCTCATGGAATCTGATAAAGGAGAATACACCTGTGAAATTATTGGGGAAGGAGGTGTTTCAAAAACTAACTTCCAGTTTACTGGCCAAGTATTTAAAAATATCCATTCCCAGGTAAGAAGTGTATCTGAATCTCATAAATCAGTTCAGAAAGAAGATGAGTTGCTTACAGTTTCTACCCAAAAGAAAAAAGTAGTGGCAACTGAAGAGAAATCCGCAGTTCAAGAAGTCATTCAAAAGTCAGTTGTTACTGAAGATGTCAAGCAAGTGAAAGCAGAAATTAAAGCTTCTTCAACTAAAATGACAGTATCTGAAGGGCAGAAAGTGACGTTGAAGGCCAACATTCCTGGTGCCTCTGAAGTAAAATGGGTGCTGAATGGAATGGAGCTGAGAAATTCAGAGGATTACAGATACGGTGTTTCTGGAAGTGATCACACGCTAACTATCAAAAAGGCCAGTAGTAAAGAAGAAGGTATACTCACCTGTGAGGGTAAAACTGACGAAGGCATTATTAAATGCCAGTATGTTCTGACCTTCTCTAAAGAGCGCTCCAACGAACCAGCATTCATCATGCAGCCTAAATCTCAAAATGTCAATGAAGGACAAGACGTGTTGTTCACCTGTGAAGTTTCTGGGGATCCTTCTCCTGAAATTGAGTGGTTAAAGAATAATCAGCCTGTAAGTAATCATTTAATATATTTACTTGAAAAAATAGAATTATTCATAAAACTGATCTTAATTAAACCGGGTTTTTTCCTTCCTCAGATTGCAGTTTCATCGCATATCAGAGTAACTCGCTCTAAAAATATATATTCTCTTGAGATTCGAAATGCAGCAGTGAGTGACACTGGAAAATACACAGTCAAGGCAAAAAATTACCATGGGCAGTGCTCTGCCACAGCATCTTTGACTGTACTCCGTAAGTTTGTTCTCCAGGTCTTGTGTTCAGAATAATCACAACTTCTTGCTGTAATGTGTCTACTAAAATGACTTATGATAAAAGTAACTGATAATGTTGACTTAAGATATTTTAACAAGTTCACTTTTCTGTTGTATTTTATATATGCAGAACTAAAACAGCATTATAAATCTTTTTAACACTCACAGAGGAGCACATATGTGCTTTATTACATCAACAGTTGCATGTTAAGAGAAAGCTATGAGTATTTGAGCATTCATTCTAGGATAAGTATGTTAAAACCTTGGTGCTGGTAATTACTGTTTCCTCATTTACTAGCAGAATCTGTTCCGATAAAACAAAGAAATTCCGCAATTAAAATTTCTTATGGCAACTTAACTGAACTGGGTTTAGTATTTTATTGGCTGTACCATATCCCAGCTCCTAGCATCAAGGGGTGGTTATGATTTGCTTGTATGACTGTGTTTGGGTTTAAAGCAAAGCTGCAGTGATTTAGCTTTTCTGTTGCCTTTTATAACTACAGAACAATGCAGTGAAATACAGACTTTACTATTCCATGTTTGTAAGAACTTGAAAATGCTTCACAACTTCTACAAACATGAACTGAACACACAATTTCTCAGTGTCTAATTCTAATGTCTAATGGTTCTAATAAACACTGTGTGATAACCTGTTTTTTCATAAGTATGTATGTTTTTTCTTCAAGCTCATACATACCAGTACATTCCATTGCCTAGTCGTTTTTCCTTTCTAAATTACTGTTTGTGACTTGGACATCTTGAATCAAATGATTGAAAACAATTTTATACTCCACTGCAGTTTTGCCATTGAAAGCAATGTATGCTGTCTCTTCATTTCTGTAAAATTAACCACAGAGAACCGCATGACTTTGTTCGTTAATGTGATGTTGTTGCTTTTTCCTTCTATGTTTGCAATGCTCCTCAGCTCTAATTGAAGAACCTCCAAAAGAGGTAGTATTGAAGACCAGTGGCGACGCAAGCATGCACGAAAGTTTTTCTTCTCAGTCCTTTCAAATGGCTTCTTCTAAACAAGAGGCTTCATTCAGCAGTTTCAGCAGTAGCAGCATGACTGAAATGAAATTTGAAAGCATGTCTGCCAAAAGCATGTCCTCCATGAAAGAATCCTTTGTAGAGATGAGCTCCAGCAGTATTATGGGGAAATCTAGTATGGCTCAACTGGAGAGTTCAACTAGTAAAATGCTCAAATCAGGTCTGAGAGGTGAGCATTCTAATTATTGGTAGAGTTAGTGCTTCAGCTATCCTGAAGTAGTCCTCAGAGTGAAGCTGCTGCATGGCTTAGTGGAATCAGACTAACTTGGTATTTCTTCTCCTGTTTTATGAAGGAGTACCACCTAAAATTGAAGCTCTCCCATCCGATATCAGCATTGATGAAGGAAAAGTTCTTACACTATCCTGTGCCTTTTCGGGTGACCCTGCTCCTGAAATAACATGGTATTGCAGAGGGAGAAAAATAACCAGTCAGGACCAGCAAGGCAGATTCCACATTGAAACCAGTGAAGATCTAACCACTCTGATCATCATGGATGTCCAGAAGAATGACGGTGGACTTTACACCCTGAATTTAGGAAATGAATTTGGTACCGATTCTGCCACTGTGAATATTAATATTCGATCACATTAGAGAGCTCGATATGTATTATTTACACTTGTTTTTTTACAAGTGATTCATATATGGACTGAAATATCTGATATGTAAATATAAAAAGAAAAAATATTTTTTTACCTACCTAAACAAGACAAAGTCCAGAGCTATACATTATGACTTATAGTCATTATTGACCTAAGAATTTAAAACACTTTTTTCACTGACATGTACATACTGTATATAGCCGAAGTTAACGGTTATAAAGTTTTGTACCATTTATTTTATGACATTTTGAAACGTAACTTTTGGAACTAACAGTTGGCAGGAGAAAGTTTCCTAGCAAATGACTACCCTGCTCAACATTTAACTAATTTTTGCGCCTCAACTCATTGTTGATGTCTAAGAATGCCTCAACAGGTAGAGAGTCTCCCTGTTGAAGACTACCTACACCTAAGAGATGATACTGTGCATAGTATTTCATACATGCACAAATATTTATGTTGAATCAGAAATGTAAGGCATTGGTGATGTTTGCAATTACCCTCCTGTAAGCATTGCTTTAATGTTTTACATTGGATCTGATTATGTCATAATTTCCATACCTGACTGACAATTTTTGGACAAAGTGCAAGCGGCCAGCACTTTGTTCACCCAGTGTGTACTGTTTCTGACATATTGACTGCCTGAATAGCTTTTAAAAAAGTAACATCACCTGGCCATCCCCTTAATCAACAAAGCTATTTAGGTATTCAAGTGCAGCAGCAGTACCCCATCTCGGAGGTTCATAGGGTGCAGTGATTGAGTTTGTGTGGTAGAATTAGACACCCTGTAGTCGCTTCTGGGCAACTAAGCAATGAACCACAGTTTGAAAACAAACTGTTGCTCCACCATTAAATACCGCCCTGCACTTTCAATTTGCTTTAGTTCTCCTAATGTAGTAATAGAGCTTATTAGCTGTTGAACCTCCTTGAGAATTGTTCATTTGAAATAAAGCATGCTTTCTGCACCATAAAATGTGACTCCTTCTTTATTTATTACGCTGTTTTTACAGTTCCTGTACTACACTACAGAAAAAGAGTTGCTGAAAAAAAATAAGACGGGGGAGAAATGCAATTCTCCAATGTAAACCAGGTAGCTATCAGAAACAACCTGGCCTCCAGTCGGCCTTGAAAAAAGTCACTTTAAAAAAAATTTTTCATCATAGGTTCTTCATTGACAAAGGATAAATTCTAGCATATATCTAAGCATTGTGGTGTTCTTATCCCTCTGTTATTTCCACACTTTCCTCTATACCCTCTATTTTTTTGGCATCTGCAACTAGTACAGACTAGTTGACCCTAACTGCCTGGACCTCCCATGGGTTTTTAAGGGCCTATGTCCCACCAGTTTTCCATTCCTCAAGTCAGCTGACATACCTGTAAGAAAGAGTAAAGCTTGCCTTTACATTTGGGCAGGGGGGATGAGGGGGTTTGGGTTGTGAATCACAAGTACCACACAGGCAGGTCCAAATTTCGTTATCTGTGGGAAAAAGAGTATCGAGGTCCAAGGTGTAACTCTGCTTCTAGAATTCACTCTGGTCTGTAGAAAAACCTTGAGAGAAAACACACTCAGAGCAATGCAACACTTCAGGGGCTGAAAATTCTCCTTAGTGTAGCAGGAGCATTAGTTAGCAGACACTATGCATCACTATGACTCCCAGCATACCATTACTACTAAGAAAAAATAAAAAAGGCTCAAAATTATCAGAAGTAGTAAAGCAGGTAGAATGTTTAAAAACCTAGTCCAAAAACTCACTATAGAAGCCAAATTCTTTTTTATAATTTCCTACAAACCTATATATTATCAAGCACTATCTATCCACATAATGCAGGAAAGCTAAGAATGACAGAAGGACTAAAGTAAAAATAAGGATTTCGGAAGACATAAGCTTTTGGGTCAGGACAAAATCCCAACTTTATGATTGTCAAGTAATGCAACCAGGAACATTTAGAAACAAAGATGAAAGAGTTTAAGAGTGCATGGTAATTCTTTCTTGGGGAGGAAAGTAAAAAAAAATAATAAAAATGAAGTAGAAAAGGCTGTTCATTCTAATCTTTAAACCATTCTAAGAAAAAAAAAGAAAACCAAACAACTCAGGAGAGTTTCCAATTCTCATTTCATTAGATATTTAAAAAAACCTCAACCAACAAAGTCAGTACAAGACACAAAAATACATAGGTACAGTCTTGTTTAACCAACAACTAACTCGTGTACACAGGTATGTAATAAAATTAACACTAAAAATCCTCTAGTTATTGGTCAATTGGTCACCGCAGAAGAAAGAAATAGTGACAGCCAGGATCTGCAGATGGACTCTTCACAAAGGCTACTGGAATCTCAGTCTTACATGGTCTCTTTTGAGTATTAGATATACTTACTTGATAGAGAGAAGCACACTGGTGTGGCAGTGTAAGCAAGTTCATTCTGTCAGTATCTCTCTGGTCCAACTCTGCACACTGCTTAAGCAAGCACACCTAACTTTAGGCAGATGAGTCACTTACATGACTAAAAATAGGATTTAAAATACAGGCTTTGCTGAAACACGGCTTTAATAGATAATGTTACAGGCCAACCAGCTGAGCCAGTGTTTTTCCACAAGACCACTAAGCGAATGCTAATACAGAGTGACATTGCTAAAGTCACAGCCTAGAGCTTCAATATTCCATTTCACGGAACACTTCCCTAAAGAATAACATTTTTTGAGACAATAGGTTAGGCAGTCTCTGAATGAAACAAATAAACATTTTTACTTCTTATATTCAGGTCAAATATTGGGACTTCTAATTTTACAAGTTGGTATTTGCTCTCTTTAAAGATTAAATCTATTGCAGAGTTAGTTAGAAAGTTAGAATATACTGCCACTGTTATGTCTATGAAGGCATTTGGTGTTCATGTTTCCTGGGTGTTGATGCATAACGAAAAACGTTTTAACAAAGCTCTGTGAGCTGCTGTATAAATCCTATTATAGAGCTAGACATTTTCTACTAACACTTCATATGTGGCAGCCTGAGAAAAATAACTGTGACAGTGGATAGCCATAATAACACTGAGAGATTCATTTTACCACATTCTAGTTAGTTTTCAGACACAGACATTTCCTTTATTCAGGTATTACACCCCTTTTAAAAGTTTCTAATATATACTGGCAGGAACAACAGCTATACTAGAATACTTAAACTGAGAGGGGCATAAAGAGCAAAATTTAGGTTTCTAATTTGTGCAAATAACCTTAATAGATACACAAATAGATTTCAATTTTTAAATAAATGAAGTAAAAAAATATATGCAGAAGCAACCTCTGAAGTATTCTTATCCCAAAGATTGCTTTCTCTGAGGAAAAAAAAGTTTAAAAAAGTGAAGCTGAATTATTATTTACAGTAAAGCCCCTGAACGTTGTAATCTCAGTATTCACAGCTCTCCAAATCACTGCATGCCTGAGCATTAATTCATTATACTGTAAGCTGGTAATTTCTAAGAATTCCATTTCTACTTATCTGAAGTTAGAAACTTTAGATATACAAATTAGAAGTTATCACTTTTCACCTAAATAGATATACTATGCTTATACTCTTTAAGTGATAAATACTATTTTAAAAAAATAATTTCCAACTGATCTCTTCAGAAGCACATGAGATCAAAACTAGAAGTTTTGATATTCTATATTGAAGTTCAGCTCTCATTCTCTACTATAAAGAGTGATACAATTAGGCATTCCTGATAAGCTCTCCCTAAACTTAGAAATGAAAATGTGAGAACATCCACATAAGTATCATTTCCAGAAATTACTTCCTAGCCCCAGATGCCTAAAGTATCACAGCATATCATCTTCACTGATTTCACTGAAATACATTTTAGAATGTTTGGCACAGTCATATCTAAAAAGCTGATTTAACCTTACCAGGAACATATCACATACATATATAAAGCTGAAATGATGGTTTTGGTGCCCTGGAGAAACCCAAAACAGTGCTGAAGTAATTACATGCAAATTTTGTGCTTGAATCTGATCACTACAACTTTCATATTATAGCAGTGTTTAAAACTGTTATTTACTACTACATGCACTGTCTCAGGTTTTTTGCACAACTTGAAGTCCAAACTCTTTTCTTCATAGTAGTTGAAATCCAAACAAAAAAATCTGTCAGTGTGACATATACTTACCACTATACAAGCTGGTAGAAACCTAAGTGAAATTTCAAAAAGCAGCTCTAAGACAGCATATTATTCAAGACAACACTCTCACTGCAATATGTAGTTTACTTCTCTGAACATCTTTTTTAATACCTTTTTTTTTTTTTTAACAATTGTCATGTCATACAGAATACATTAAAGCAAACATTCAGAAAAAATGTACAAGCATATGTGTGGCTGATATGCATATTATAGTTTGTATGAAAACTGACAGAACTGAGCACAAATGACTGCTCTGAGCTGGTATCCACAAATCCCTTCTACAAACCATTCCATCCCACTTGAACCCGGCATAATGGTTTATAAACTGGCATTTTATATGTGGGCAACAGCTCTTATGTTTTTCTCTAACATTTGGACCTATTTTGATTTAGATAAATCAACATTCCAAAAATTTGTAAGGAAAGCTCCCCTTCCCATCTCTCCTTTCCAGCCTGCTTCAAAACAACCAAATTATTTATATACACAAAAGGAAGACCAGTTAAACCAAATTAAAGAAGATCTGATTATAAAAACAGATTTTGGTATGTGCTTGAGTGCAAAAAACCCTGTACAACTTTTAGCAATTGTGTAAATCAAAAAGAGTAAATGGCTTGCTTAAAGTGCTCTACAGCTAAGACTTTATAGACCAAGTTTATCCCTAAACAAACACCCAAAATCCCCAAAAGCTTACAATGCTAACATTAACAACCTTCTGGACCAAAGTGCTAGTAGGCACTGTTATACTATATTACTAATTAATTATTAAGAGAGTCAGACTCTGACCTCGCTTACAATTAATGCAAATTTAAACTGATGTAACTGAGAGCAGAATCCATCTTCTGGTGTATACCATCCTCAAATGATATAAAAGAGTCACAAAAACAGAAGCTCCCTATTGTATAAATATGTCATAAATAAAACACGTAGAGATACAAATATTCATTACAACAGCAGCTTAAAACAGTCTAACATTTTAGCTCTTGCTTCTATAATACTTTGCTAAAAACACATCTTAAGTAGGCAGAGTAAATCTTAACGGTGCTGTATTAACTACTTGTGATACTACACACCCCAGAAACAATTTATGCACATTTTGAAGCCTTTAGTAGATCTTCAGATCTTTAGTACTGAAAGTAGGTAGAAATTTTTGATGCAAAAAAGAATAAATAAATAACAATTATTAAATATCCCATGTTTGGTACAAATACTTCATATTAAGTTATTTTTATACATTTGTTTAGAAAAATACACTAAATATTTCTACTTTCATTGGCTAAAAATAAGGACTGGATTATGTATATCCTTGTGTTTTTAAAGGCGGCAATGTCAATTACCGTCAAGCTGCTAGAACAGACCCATTAGTGCCCATTCCCACAGCCCTTACACTGGCAAAAAAAGCCATTGTGGGGCCAATCACAGCTCTGGGTGGATGACCTGGTACAAATGACCAAGAGGCCCATGGCACAAGTCCCATTTTCTCCAAAAAAATGAAAACTTTTTGCTGAAGTTTATAATGCATGTTTACTAACATATCAGTCAGACCTTCACACTTTTTAAAAAGAGCTACGTTTACAAATGTGGATGCTTATCTGTTAAAGCCATCATTTGTTCCAAAAAATGCACATTCAACCTGTGAAATATTAGGAAAATACTCTTGCAAATAAACTATATAAAGATAAAATACACTTCAAAGATAGTTTTTATGTTATTCTATAAAGTGCAGAGAAATCCTTCTAAAAAGGGAAATTACTACTTCCTATAACAACAGTATAATTACAGCAGCTTTTGCATAGCATTATTTATAGAAAATTTAATACTTTCAGTTGCTTCACGAGGAAAAGGATGAAAGAGTCTCTTCCAGTTCAGATCTTTCCTTTGACACTGATTTATTTTCTTCAGGAATGGTTGATGATACCAGATCTCCATTGACAGCACTTCTAGAACAGTGAGTAGATCCTATGAAGAGATTAGTAAGTATTTAATTTTCAACCCCCCAAAAATATCATGCAATCTGTCAATTATTCTATTTGCTATCTGTCCTATACATAAGGGATCAGAAGTGTAATTACTCTGGACTTGTCCTGAAAGATTTCCATCAATATCATGCCCAAGGATAATGAAAATGAAGACTCTTCAGACAGTATAAATCAAGTAATTTTTCCATATACAATGATTTTTTACATTATGAAAGACAGTAACCTGCGAGGTGCAGAGATATTCTTCATGAGGAATACATGAGGTTTTTTTTTAAAGAACTGATGCACTGACAAGCACTTAATGAAAATATTTTCTATAATTAAAATGAAATGGGTGACTTCCTGCAAGTTGGGTATTACTACGCTACGTGACAGGAAAGCAACAGAACTAAAATAACTGGCAGGTAGCAGAGGGAACTTATAAAACCGTGAAAGAAAACAAAAAACCAGAGGAGCTGAGGTAGAGACTAGAGTTGCATGGTAAGGAACCAAAAAGGACCTTTTATTAGCAGAAACTTGTAAGACAAAGCCTCTTCTCAGCAGTCCTAAGTCAGAGTGGGTAACCTACACCAGAAGGCCCCAGATGGTAAGAACAAAAGCTTTGTGTTACAGGAAGCCTGACTGACACACACCTACATTAGACATCAGACACAGAACAGGATCTAAACTAAGTTTATTAGCTTGAGATACATACTGGCATACCCTATGCTGGGGCAGATGAGTCAGGTGAAAGAGGCGGTCACCATGCAACATGTGAGTATCAAAACCGCAAGGAAATGGCACTGAAGTGTGAATACATGCTTCATGACAGAATGTAAAGCATTACTATCACTTCCTGCTCACACGGGCTTTCAATCATGCACAGGTCTCAGGCTTTTTAAATCCAAGTGAGGCACTAGGTATTCCAAAAGGAAGCAAGCCTAAACCAGGAGTAGTGAAGAAGAACTGGTCAAATTGAAGTCTGCCTGAGGAGTTACGATGGAGTCAAAATGACAGCAAGATTAAAAAAGAAAAATCCACAGAGGAACTGGCCACTAACTCAGACAGCCCATCTAATTAGGAGGGAAAAATATTCTGATCATGATCTTTATTAGTGACAATGCTGCATGCCTTCGGAACAGTGCTGTTCTCTACAAAAGGCAAGGAGCCACTGAAATGAACCATCTTCCCAAAATGCACTGGTGGAAACTACTGCCCACCACTCACAAGGGCCACAAAAAGGAGAATTTCTTTTGGGACAAGCAGGTGGCAAACAGCAGTATTCCACATCACTTACCATAACACCGTTCACAAAGACCCTATTAGCACAAACATCTCTTTTCTGATTACGTCTCTATTTTATCTTGCCAGTAGTCCCACTGATTTCAATATAACTACTCCAGCTGGTAAGATCCTTTTTAATATGGACGGAAGCCAGCACAAGCCAGCCAGCTAACAAACTATACAAGTGCCTTCATTAATAACAGAACCCAAACTTTAGGTAACTAATAATAAACTTGTTTCCTCGTGCTGATATCAGCGCTAGAACAGCTGCTACAAACAGGGGAATAAATTGTACAGAAAGAAAACTAAACGCCTTTCCAACTTACTCTGAGAATCTTCAGAAGGTGTATCACTGTAAGATTCTGTATCCGAGTATGTTCTTCTGCGTCGCTGAGAAAATCGGTGAACAGATGAACCTGGTTCTTTTACAGAGTGATTAATCCTTCAAAAAAAAAAAGATGTATTTTTTAAGTAAAATCTGTAACAACCCACACAAATTTAATATACTTTAAATCTGAAATAACTTTGGCACTTAGACTGTTAAGTATCAATGCTTTTCACTATACTAGACTAAAAAATGGCACCGTTAACAGTCTTAATTTCACAGTTGTAAAGCCTCAAAAGGGAAACAAAAAGGCAATATAATCTTTGCAGAAGAAAATAATGTGAGAATCTGAAATACTGAGCCAAAAAGAATATTTGCGATTCAAGCTCTAGGTCTAACTTCATGAACTTATCAGAATAAGTAATTTTCATAAAGTTTCTAGCAAGAAGAAATTTTTGTAGCGTATCAGAAACAGCAGACGCATTATTTGCTACTGACATTGATAATCTGCATCATTTGTTTTAAAAATTAGATCAATTTATGATTTTTAATTCTTTTTACCCAAGCAAATAATTCTCCCATTTTGATGTTAGTGCTATTAAGTTTAGGGAGGTCTTTTGAGACACAGGAAAAAAGCTTAATGAAACAGAAAATTACCTTTCTGAATAGCAAGGACCAGGGTGGCTAATGGAACGCTTCATCTAGAGGGAGAAAAAAAAAATTCCAGACAACAAACCACAACAAAATGCTACAAGCTACTTATAAGAATAATGTGCATATCTGCATTGTTCTCTATTTACAGTCTCTACAAAGAGAGAGGGTAATTTTTTTTTTATTAAAAGTAACTGTTCTTAGTTAAAAATCTGATTTAACTATATGAAAACAGATGGATTGCCATTAATATCAAAAGTTCTAGAACACTGACACAGGAAATAGCTTACTACAAAAAAATACCACCTCATTTCTGTGGAATTCATTCCCTCTTGCACTAAAGTTACTCACAGAGCCATGTTATTTTTTCTTTACCAATAGAAGCTTAAATTCCACATCACACAATAAGGCCAAATCCTGCCTCTAGATCCCTTGTGGTTTCTCTGATATCACTGCCAAATCTCTATGCATATCAAAGCAAGTTATTAATTTAAATCATAATGATCGGCTTTGTAAGTAAACTGATTAAAGATAAATAGACAAAAGATGCAAATGCAAAGAAAGAGATTCCCACAACAAAATTCCACGTTATAGCTCATCTTGGAATCCATACATACAACTGAGAAAACATTTCAGATGATTCCCTATACACTGTCCTTCTAAGGGAAATAATCAATAGTGAATAGTTATACAAGTAGTATTTTTACCATTATTTATCGTTTTTGTTAAATAAGGTCATAAAAGATTAATACAAACATCTTCAATTATATACAGTGAAATATATGCCATCTTGCTGAAGTGCTTCGAGTCAAGAAGCATTTAAACAGGAGGTGAGGTTATAACATTTTTAGGATCAGTGAAGAGTAGCACTCTGAAAAAAAACAGCTGGACTGAGGAAAAGTTAAACCTCATTCATTTACGAGATACCTCACCACAGGGGTTTGTATGATAAATTACTCTGATGATGTAAAGGCTAGTAAACAAAGACTGGGAATGGAAAATTACTGATTTATAGTTAGGACCAGTTCTGATTTATAAGAGAGTCAACATTTCAACTGTGGACACCATAGCACATGGCAATAGCATAGCCTTCTACCACTCCTCTCCCCAGTCCAATTAACAATATGACACTTAAAAAAGATAGTATTTCAAAATGTCTAAACCATTTGAATAGGTGATGGTGACACAGGAGAAACCAAGGGATCGGGATGAGGCAGTTGGAACATTTCTGGCTTAAACTTGGCATTAGCAATCTTCACACATTCTTCAAGTGTTGTGATAAATGTATTACATGTGGCACTAAGCAAGGAAGAGGCTTCATTCATGTTCTGAAAATAAATGAAAGCACACACATAAGCAAGAAAAAAAAGAAAATATGCAAATATAACTCTCTACCACCACCACCCCCCCACACACTACTTTCCCTCACTACTGCTAAGAACTTCCATTTCCTATTTTATTTAATTAAATGTGCACCTTAAAATGAGGCCAACTTAAGAAACAAATGTTACAGCATTGTAAATTCTTCCCAAAACTTGAATTTCTTTAGGGTACCAGCCAACAATTCCTTACTGCAAAGCAGGTCTCAGACTACCTTGTATCAGAAGATCACTTAGTGAAACAAATGAATTGCAGAAGGAAGCGTGAACAGTTTTAGCACTCCAGAGCCTGCAGGACAGTTTCACCTCCTGTAAACTGACAATTTGCTCTGCTGTGACAAAGCATCAACCCCTTGCTTTGCTCTAAGTGACCAATAACATTGTCCCCATACTGCTCAAGAGTGTAAGGACTGAAGCCATTCATAATTTCCAGTACCAACTTTCATTCAAAAGCAGAAATACAGTCTGGTATTGTACTAGTGCAATAGTAGTGTTCTAATATTGTACTTGTGCACATTCAGAGATACTTATCTGCACTGCAAGTTTCCAATACCTGTAACTGTAACACTAGCTTTCACTTATAAAAAAATGGAATACCTTCCTACACAAGAAAGTAAGAATGGGCAAAGAAGATTGTTTCACCTACACTGGCCAGAGATGCCAAACAAGACAAAATATTGCACTGATCATAAAACAGCTCTTCTGGTCTTTTAATAAAATGGTTTAGAAACATAACTGTTTCCTAAAACATGGTACAATTACATTTAAACATCCAGGTAGTTTACACACATAGATCACCATTAGTTATACTAATACACACAAGCACTCAAAAATTGCACTTAGGTTACGTCTCCCAACATTAGGGAGATTTTTGATGTCTTATGCCTTATGAAAAAGGCATAAGACATCAACAGTAACTTGAGCTGTATTATATAATTAGGTTTTCCAGTGACATTCTAGAAATTCTGTACCTCAATGCTGGGAGGAGAGCGAGCCTCATCACGGTGAACAAATTCTTGTATTGTATGAACTTGTTGCATTAAAAGATCACAGTAGAGACGAAGTTCGGACATTTTGGTTTTAAGAGATTCGCTGGTCTCACTTAATTCTATAAAAAACCAGGAAATATCAATTTATTGCATACAATGTATGTATATATTGTAATTTTAAGCACTTTTCATTTAAATACCAACTTAAAAATTCACTTGAATGTCCACTTAATTTTGAGGAAAATTGGATTCTGCAATGAGTCAAGAACTGTACCTGAAGTAGACAATACTTTCTACTTTTGGATAACTGCTGCTAATTTAATGACTATTATGAAAAAGGCATATTACCAATAAAAATGAAGTTGAAATCTTTCTTAGCTGCAATGTAATGTAGAAAAATTTACTGGATAAAATTTATACCCACCACAGTGGCTGGAAACAGTTACATTAAGCTATCCAAGAAAAATTATGGAAAAAATAATAGTAACTATAAAGAGTCAAAGCACCAGAAATGAAATGGCTTCACAACAGTTACAAACAGTATGTTTGTTCTTGTGGCAACAATACATTGCTGGTATTTCAGCTTCTTAAGAAGTCACCTCAATTGACCTCTTCTAACTCAAACACTGAGGGGGAATTTACCAGAGATGATTAGAAATAACAACAATTTATATTAAAAGACAGTAATAGTGACTTTGTACCACAATATTTGCACTATGATTATCTGAAAACAAGTACCTGAAAAAGTGATATACTCTAGGTAACACACATACCTTTTTCTTTTTTTGTTCTGGTATCTGCTAAACAGGCTTTTGCACTCCCCAGTGCTACCAGCCATCTTTGCCTTTCAGCTGCATTAACTGCTTTCATATAGAAATGCTGCTCCCCTGGGATGATTAGCTCCATTCTCGTGTTGTCTGTTGCATGAACTTGTGATAGAAGACAAAAAAAAATAATTTTGAAAAAAAATAATAACCTCAACTCAGTAACAATTATCTATTAAATACTTATCAAGATATTTTAAAATGTTTATGACAATCCCACAGTAATACAGTACATCACAATGCACCACTGCTAACTATGAAAAAGCCCACAGCCGCTCAACCTTTCTGCCCAGCACATCTTCCAGTCAAGAGACCTGACACTGAGCAGTGGCCAGACTCCAGTACGAGGGGGTTCCCTTTCTACATTAATAGTATACTGTGTATGAGTCTGTAATAACTGCTGTATTCCACACCTGGTCTAAATGTGGCATACTGAAGAGCTTTGTTGCAGTGACAGGTATTAACAGGGGACCAGATAAAAACTGAAATAATCTCTCTTCTAGATGAAATCTGGTCTGAGGTAGAAGAGCCAAGAACTGAGGTGGACTTCGTTTCCAGTCTATTATATGCTACATTTTTAACTGAATACTCTGATAAGTTTCATGTTATTAACCACAGTTCCTTCAGATCTAGTCCCCACTAGTCATGGATGCAGGAGACTGCTCCAAATCCAGACTTCAACTATTATCTTTCCTTCACCAAAGGAACAAGATGACAAGCAAAACGAACAACTGAAATGGTCAAAAAAAAAAATTAACTTCCCCACTTTACACTACTGATTTCATCTACACCAAGGAAACATTAACAAAAAGGAGGTACCATATGAAAAATACTTGGTGGTCCACGTAAAAAAAGTTCCATTTTTTAATATATAAGTACCCACATCACAAGCCCAGTTATCTGCAGAGATTTGAAAAGAGGTCAACAGTTACAGCAGTGAAGAATTAGACAACGCTTTGCTATTAGCCAAGGAGGCTGACATAAGCTTAGACTACACTACAAGCTAAACTCACAGTTTGGCACAAACAGTTCATGTACTAACTCAAATACTGCCATCACCTGTGCCCATAGGCAGCTGCTAACAGTGACAAAAGTAAAAACGACTCAGGAAAACAAAGGACTAAACATCTCTGGTTTATGAATCTCCCCTTTTGGGTAACTGCTGCTGCTCTTCTGGAAAACCAGCATCCATGATTCAGTCTCTATCCATAGCTACAAGAGGGAAAAGCAGTAGAACTAGCTGAGGTAACTTCAGGCATGGGCCACATGTACACAACTATTTAAAACAAAAAGTAATATATGGTGGGTTCTAAATCTCAAAACAGAGCTCTATTCACATTCATTTTTATTTGTGAACTATGAAGCACCACAAGATAAACAAAAAAGAGGAAGAAAACCTTGCAAAAATGTATGTTGAGTGACCTTTTCTATTTCCCTGGCAGCTAAAATTTCCTCAAGCAGAACTATTAATTCTTACCTTTTATTTCACACACAGCCATCTTTATACTTCCTTTGCTGCCTTTGCAAACATCATCCTGGGAGTCATAGTATGACAATATCCCATTGTCTAAAACAAACCACCGAGGCTGCCACCCTAGCAAGATCAAAAACATGAAAAGGGAAGTTTAGTCTAATTACTAAATTGTAAATCAAATTCATCTGTTTAGCTGCTAAAACTTTTATTAAAGAGGCAAACAATAAATTATCTTTGTAACACACCAGGAAATAGACAATCCATGCAGTCTGAAGACCAGAGCTGCTCTATAACCAGACTAATGTTATATGGATATTTCACTCCCATTCTTTTTGGATGCAAAATTACCAGTATTTTTTTCACTATAATCCATTCTAAAGAAAAATTAAATTTTAATTTAGCCACCAAGGAATCCTGTTTTGAAGATTCATAAATTACATACCTCTGAAAAACTATTCTCATTCAAGTATATTTTTCAGGCAGACTTATCTTAAGATTGTAGGAACTTCTTCATAAGATACAAATAAATTACTGACATCACCAACAGCTATGCTACAGTCTCCTCTGCTTACTGGATTTCCGTGAAAACTTTGTATTTCATACTTAAGTATTAACATGACATTTTCTGTCAAAGTAGTCCAGTTCCATTGCCCAACAACAATCATATGTCAGGCACTGTGTATAGAACTCAGGGCTTATTCTCCTAGGTTCATTTGTGAGGACAGTATATACCAGCTCCTCTACTAATGTTTTCACCAGCTATGCATTAGCAAAATTATATAACGATCTCTGACTTCACTACATCTACAAAAGAGAGCAATTTATGCATAGACACAAATATCTTTGAGCACTCTATGTAGCATTATGCCACACAGTAAATTACTGTTAGGGGCCTTCTTGGATTAAAGTATATTATCATGCCTTTTTTTTTTTTTTCTATTTCATAAAACTCAATACTCACTGGAACAGATGCCCTAATTTCTAATACAACTAAATGTAAACCATTTTGCCTAGTAAATCACCTTTCTTTCTAAAAATAACATTGCACTACAATACTCCAGTAAAGCATAACAATTATACGGGCCCATTACAGTCTGGGTCAGCTGTACAACAGGAGCAGATTGTCCCTCTATTTTACAACTCCACACCAAAATTTAACTTCCTACTTCGCTTAGGGTTTGGAATGGCAACAACAGTGTGGCCAAGAACTCAATGCATTTGATGATATGGTGGTGTGGTCCACGGTACTTCCCAATTGCCATCCCAAGAGAGCAAGCTGCAGCCATCCAGCAACAGTGTACTTTAACACAGGAGGCTTAATCAGGTAACAAACTCCAGAAATCAGCTAAAGGTTTCATATTATTCACATTCTTATAATGCTATCATGATAGAATCATTTAAGGTTGGAAAAGACCTCCAAGATCAAGTCCAACCTTTGACCTTGTCAACTACACCATGGCACTAAGTGCCATGTCCAGTTGTTTCTTGGACACCTCCAAGGATGTTGACTCCACCACTGCCCTGGTGAGCCCATTCCAGTGCCTGACAATCCTTTCAGTGAAGAAATTCCTTCTTTCAGAGAGTTGCATAGAGTGATATGGTTACCCCTGAGCCTCTTCTCCAGGCTAAGCCCCCTCCCCAGTTCCCTCAGCTCATCCTCATCACTTATTTGCTGGACCCTTCCCCAGCTCCATTGCCCTTTTCTGGATGTGCTCCAGCACAGGTGTCATTACAAGCTGTAACGCTAATTGAAAAAGTGCCCCATTTATCACCGCTCCGTGATAAAGAAATAATAACAGGTAATTGTTTTCATTTTTTTATTTACTAGCAGTAACAGTAAGCATATATCTCTTTTTAAATGCAGAGTGGTAACTAAAAAGCAGATCCACAAGAACCAGAGGGTAAAGAAGATACTGCCAAGTACGGTATGTGATCCAGCACTGATCTGCTCTGGAGAGACAATCAGTCCTCTCAGTGTCAGAGGACCGATCTGTTTCACCCTGACAGCACTGCCTGTCCACTACCTGCTCCAGAGGGAGATGGTGTCTCTATCACAGCACAGGACCAGCCAAACAAAACCAGAGCTTTACTGGCAAATGCTCGCATTTGGTGTATTTTTCGTCTGCAGCACTTCTAAAAAATGGATTTTGTGAAACTGAAGTTTATCATGTTTTACAGGCTGGGATACAGGAGCTCCCTACAGCCTATCCTGCTGAGAGCAAGGTGCAATCCAGGCCGCGAGAGGGACTCGTCCAGGCCGTTCCCGGAGGAGGGCCGAAGCCCGGGCGCCCCTTGCCCGGGGGGGGATACCGGGGCCGAGCGGTGCCCGCAGGGAGGGCCCGGCCCAGCCCGGCCGCACGCAGAGAGCGCTGGCACCACCGCCAGGCGCGGCCCCCGGCCCAGGCACGGAGCCGGCTCCAGCCGCCTCAGGGCCGCCCGCCGGGGCTCCGAGCACGAACGGCGAGCGACGTCTCAGCCAGCGCGTTGCCAACAGCTCCGGCCGCCCGCGGGACCCCCCGAGGCAGCGGCAGCGGCGCGCACGGACCAGGCCGAACTCCCCCGGCGCCGCGGGCCCCTCACCCGCACCCAAAACCCAACGCCCGGCCCCTGCCTACCCGCCAGGTAGTTGGTCCACTTGTACAGGACCCCCTCCATCGCTCAGAGCCCGGCGCCGGGCCGCATCCTCCTGCTCCGCCGCGGGGAACGGGCGGCCGCGGCCGCCGCGGGGATGGCGCTCCCCTGCCGGCCCCGCCGCCGCCTCCCCCGCGCGGAGGCGGAGCCGCTCAGCTCAGGCGCGGCGGCCGCGGCGGCCCCGGCGGCGCCGCCCGCCCCGCGGGGCGCTCTGCATCCCCCCGCGCCCGGCCCGCCACCCCGCGGGCGCTTCCGACGTCCCTTCCACTTCCTGCGCGGAGGGGGCGGCCCGAAGAACCGCCCGCCCCGCGGCTGCTGCTGGGGCCGCCTCGTCCCCGCGGCCGGGCCGGCCGAGGCAGAGCGGCGGCGCAGGCTCGGCCCCCGCCCCTCGGCGCGGCGGGGACAGTGCCACGCCGGCGGCCGCCTCGCAGCGACATGAGCCGCGGGCTGACTCTGCTGCTGCTGCCGCTGGCGCTGCTGGCGGCCCCGGCGCGGGCCGAGGGCGGCACGGCGGCGGCGGAGCAGGTTCAGATAGAGGTGCTGCACCTCCCCGAGACCTGCAGCCCGAAGAGCAAGAAGGGCGATCTCCTGAACGCGCACTATGACGGATTCCTGGCCAGCGACGGATCCAAGTTTTATTGCAGGTGGGCCCCCGCGGCACCGGGCCAGGGGCGGGGCGGGGGGCCCTGCCCGGCTGTGTACGTGGCCCAGCCGGTTCCCCGCAAGGAGCAGCGGGACTCACTGCGCTCCCATCGTGCGTACAGCTTGGGCCCCACACGGACCACATCAGCATTAGTGTTCCCCCCCACCCCGCCTTTATTTTTTCTCATCCGAGTGTTGAAGGATGCCCCTCGCCTTTATTTTTTCTCATCCGAGTGTTGAAGGATGCAGGATTTCCCTCGGATCGTGAGGCGCAGAGACGAGATGGAAATCCCAGCGATGGAGCCCGATGTGAAGGACGCACAGAGTCTGCAGTCCATACCTCACATGGAGAACCCCTTTGGCAGGGTGAAAAAAACCCCACCATGTTATCACCTGCCATGTTCTGTGCTGCAATTTGTGCAGAAAAACCCGGTTTGGGAGGAGGAGCTCCTGGTAGAGACTGACAGTTTTAGACAGAAACTTGAATACAGCATGCACTTCCCCATAGTTGGCACTCTACAGGGCAGCCACATTATTACACTACTGGTTTGCAGCCTGTCTCTGCTTCCCTTCTTGATTTGTTCTGCCACCCATTTTTGCCCCACTGTTAGCACTTAAGTTTTTACCCTATACATTTGTCTTCAGGCTGTTTCTGTTTGGTTTAGCTTGCTTTGCACAGAAACTTGTGCAAAAGCTCTTACTTTTACAGTGCCTTGCTTTCAATGGCAGTCCATCCTACTAGTGCATCAGGACTCTCCCATGTAGAACTATGGAGGGGAGAGTATTTTCTTTCTTTTAGGTACCTGGCTCACTCCTTACCCACATTTGGACAGATCAGACAGCTTAGCTTATTACAAAATCTTGATTCACTCCCCCCACTTGCATAATTTAAGAAAATAAAATTAGTATAATTCTACATTTAACAGTACCATTTAACTTGCATTTTTTTGCCAGTTGAAGTGACTGGTTATGGTTCATACAGTGTTGCTCTCTGGCTTTTGAGCTGCATTCTTCTTAGTTGCCGTTCAGTGGAGCTCCCATACTGGGCATACCTTGTATGACCAGAAGCTCCCTCAAGCATTGAATACCTCCACTGAACAGAGTAGTAGGTGAGCACACAGATTCCCAGGTTCCCCCAACACACACCTGCATTGTCGGTCCCACCCCCTCCTGCAGTGATGTGAACTGCTGAAGACATTTTCACTGGTCCCAGCACTCCTCTTCTTGCAGACTTCCTGCAGTGGCACCTTGTTTCTGGCATGCAGTGTACATGATCAGGAAGTTCAGACGTTTTTGTTAGAAGTTAAAAAACAAAGGGGTTTTTTACTCCAAAAGGAGGTTTCCTCTACACATATCACATTTAACCTTAAATTAATTATAAATGTAGCAGAAGTGTTAATACTTCGTATTCTTGCACTCTAAACATTCTTGTGTGCAAATAATCTAATCTGTGTTTTTACTGACTGCAATTTATATTTACGTAAAAAAGATACTAAATTTACTGTTACTGATGCACGATTCTTTCTAATAGTCGGACGCACAATGAAGGTCATCCAAAGTGGTTCGTTCTGGGTGTTGGACAAGTCATAAAAGGGTTAGATATTGCTATGATGAATATGTGTCCTGGAGAAAAACGGAAAGTGACGATTCCTCCATCACTAGCATATGGACAGCAAGGATACGGTAAAAAAGACATTTAAACACTAAACTTTGTCTTTTCTTTGTTTTACCCTTTCAAACATGCAGTATTGTAAGTGTGTGTAAGAATTGGTGCTCCTGTTATTTTTGGAGGCACTGCAGCTGTGCAGCCCAATCCTGCTCATTCCTGTGCAGTTTAAGTCCTTGTCATGGACCCGCACCCAGGCCTTGTAGTTTGCATTAGAACTCAGTACACAGCACCCAGTGCTTTTTTCCAAGTATTGCCACGATACGAAAAATTGACAGCAAAAGGAAGATCTTTGTGATCCATATCAGCATTTTTTGTCTTAATCTATTAAATTCTAGTCATGTTTAATTTCTATGATTTCATTTTCACCTGCTTAGCCTTTTAATGACAGTTTGCATCTTCTGACTAAAATGGAATGTAATGCAGTGCAGATAACAGAAGTAGAAATAATTTGCTTAAAATACTGCTTACCCTCTGGGTAGTTAATGGATATCATCATCATATTACACAGTAATTGCAACAGTGCAATGCATGAAATCCGATTTGAATAGGAGATAATTCAGTGTGCAGATCACTTTTAAAAAAGTTCCAGTCTGAGTTTATGCAGTGTTTCAGCACTCAAATGTAGCTAAATTCAGCTCTGACATAAATGTAGTGGTTTCTGTGAAAAAGTAGCTCCTGATCTATAATAAGTTGGTAGTGATATGTCAGAATTCAATGCACCAGTTTTGTTTTTCATACAATTTCATACAAAAAGAAAAAACACTGATACAAATAAAAGATGTTCTTTACCTCTAATAATAGTGTTAACTGTTTATTCCAGGTAGCACTTCAAGAAAGTATTACTTTCCTACAGCACACCTGTCCTCTGTCTCAGCGTATTCCTGCATGCTGGGGAAGATGCCTGCCTAATCTTGAATTAAAAAAGATGCATGTGGCTTTCTAAATCTTTACATGTCTTTCCTTTGTTGGTATGTATATTTGGAAACTACTGGCATTGAATTCTAGTATTGTATCTATCTTTCGTAAGTAGCATTTAAACCATGATCTATGTTCATATGTATTTAAAATTTCTACTTTTCTAAAGCTTGGAAGGTTAAAATCTTTTGAACTCTGAAACTTGTCGGTTTTACTATGGCTATTTTAGATGAATAGCATAATAGTTTTGTTAACCTTCTGTTTATAAACGAAGTACATCCTTCAGTTTCTAAAGAATGGGCACAAGCTCAAAATTCTGTCAAAATTCCAAGGTTACAATGTCATGCTCACTGGCTTTGGCTATGAATAGAAGCATCTTGCATGTTTACATTTTAATTTTACACTGCATGACTTTTTAATGCTCTTTTGGCACAACTTTTAGACCTCATTAGTTTGTTGCTGTCTCTTTTCAGTTTCCTTTTTCTGATGTGCATGATACATTGACCTGTGTTTATAGGCAGTGCTGTTTTTACATCAGCTGTCTGAAAAAGTTTTGATTCAGGAATAATGAAGTTTAATAGGGTTTCTTTTTTAATTCAAAGACCAGACAAAATATTCCAGTAGTTTGGGGGGGTTGTGGGTTTTTTTGCTTTGTTTTGTTTTGGTTTTGGCTTTGTTTTTTTGTGAATCAGATGACTTCCATTCTATTACTTCTTTCTGAAATGTACACTTTAAACAATTTTTTTACATCAAAATTCTTTCAGCATAGGTATAATTCATAGCAGGTGGGTAAAACATGATGTTACCTGTTTGTTTCTTCAGAAAGAATGTACATCCGAGCATTGGTCTTTTACCAATATTTGAAATCAGATTGAAATTATTAATATTTGAAATCAGATTGCAGATATTGAATAAAGACATACATCTTACAATCAGTCTCTTAATAGGCACTGTCATATGACAGGATGTGAAAGAGTGAGAACTCTAGAAATAATTTTCATGATTACCCTTTTGTTAATCTCTAAAGTATCTGAATTGATATAAGTGATATAATTTTGTTTCAGGGAAGTACATGGTTAGCAAGTTCCTCTCGAAATCATTTATCTAACACAATGGAACAATCTTCCTGTGTAGATGTACAATATTTAAAGTTTAATCTGAATATTAACATAGCCTTTTCTAATAAAAAAGTAAAACGTTTACATGTGAATTTATCATGTGTGTCTCTGATCATAGAGCCTGATTTCTTAAATGCTTTTTTTTATTTTATTAATAGCACAAAGCAAGATTCCACCCAATGCAACACTGATCTTTGAGATTGAACTTTATGCAGTAAATAAGGGACCTCGTAGTGTTGAAGCATTTAATCAAATAGACAAGGACAGTGACAAGAAACTCTCTGCACTTGAGGTAATATTTTTTTAATAAATTTGAATTTTTATGTAAATAATTTGAAATAAATAATTTATAATAGTATAGGTATGGTTTCATGAGTTTTTACATGAGCTGCCTCTGCTGCAGTTGATCATCTGAGGCTTCTGTGTGCTTACACAAGCTACACTGTGCAATGCTGAAATTTGCTTCAATACATTAACATGTCTCAGATTCCTGTAGACAAACTATAGATGTGTCTGCACTGGAGTCACAATAACTTAGGTGTGTACCCCAAGTGTCATCAAAGATAGCTGTTGAGTACTGGCAGAAAAACCTCCAACTGTTGTGATTTTTATTTTTTTCTAGATAAGCCAGTATTTGAAAGAAGAATTTGCAAGAGATGGCAAAAAACGTCATCCCTCAGCCCACGATGAAATCTTAGCTGACATATTTAAGAAGAATGACCATGATGGAGATGGCTTCATATCAGCAAAGGAGTACAATGTCTACCAGCACGATGAACTCTAAATACTTAAAAAATCTTTGGCTGTTTTCTGGACACTGAATTCTGAATAATAATACTTTGTCACAGAACTTTTTGTATTTTTTTCATAGTGGCATCTTTTTATATCTCTTAAGGTGACTGTAAAAATCTTATTTTTAACATTCAGCTAATAAAATTGTTACATATTTCAAAAGAAAGAAATAAAATCAAAAAATTATTAGTAGTAGTTCTTGCATCATGTTCTGATCTACAGTATTGTTCAATAGTCTTTCTCATTGTGTGAAATACTGATGAAAATAATTATTTCTGTCCTCTTGAGCACGTAAAAATGGATCCAGTAACTGCTGACATAGCTAGAACATAACTGATGAACACTTCTCAATCCCCTGTTAAATAAAAAGGGAAAACAGAAGCCCAGGAATGTAGCTCAGTTAGATCCATGCAGGCTCCTAGGCCAACTTCTCAAGGAACAGCCATTTACAGCAATTAACTATAAAAGGCCTTAAAATAAATGAACACTGACTATGGAATGTGAAGGTAAGAACACAAATGTTTTTAAAGCAATTTAAAATAACCTCTGATATAATATTAGCATGAATAATTTGGTGTTGATGAGAAAGCACTGTTTTAAGTGAGTTTTTAAACTTTGATTTAGTAAAATTATTGTTATCAAGTTTATTCAGCAGCACCAAATTAAAAATCTACACTATCATAATTTCCTTAGATGAGATTGAAGATGATGGGAGATACTACATATGAACATAAATAATTATTTGGGCATCATTCTGGTTTCCCCCCTGGAAAAATATAAAGAAGTAGCAATAGTTAATAAAAAGTACTTGGATCTATCCATTAACTGTTTTGCTTATGTCTACAACACTTGTGTAACATGCTTTACTCTTCTCACATGAAAAGCAATGGCTTGTATTCATTTCAACATGTAATAATCAGTTGTACACAGTGATAGTGGCAGCACAGTGGAAAAATCTTCCATACCTGGCTTATCCTTAAAATAACTTTAAAAGGTAAAAAAATGTTTTCTTCTTTGCCAGTTTAAAACAGCATGGTGAGAGGTTCAACAGTACCCTACCAAAGAGCATGCCCAGTCCCAGACCTGGACAAAACTCTGTGGTGCCCTCCCGTGTTCCTGTTCTCAACAGGCTTAATTTTCTGTGGTTGAGAAATGCCAGCTAAAGACCTTCACCCCTGAAGTCTCGTTGGATTTTGCAGTTCTGCTATTTTCATAAGTTTACATAACATCCTCTGCTAAGCAATTTTTTTCTGAACACATAAAAGGAAGTCAAGAGCAGCTGTGACATAAAATCCAAATGTAGAAGATGGACTGGCTGGTTCCTTTTTAGGGACTTAAACAAACTTGACATACGGCAAAGGCATCCTAATATGAAACTCCTATCCGTAGTTTCTGTTGTTCCCTTTTGTAAAGGGAACATTGGACTGAGCTAAGCTTTAGCTTTTTTTTAATCTGATACTTCAATTAATCATTCATGAGTACACTAAATTATTAACAAACATTCTAATTTAGCCATCATGTGCCAGTGTAGAGAAATGCAACATTTTGGGGGTTTAACAACAAGTTTGTGTAAACAACTTAAAGTAACTTAGCATATATTTTGACATTATGAAAATACAGTTTAGAAGTAAATTTTTCATTATGAAAAGGCTCTAGAAAGAAAAAAAACGAATGTCAGGGAATGCATGAGTGTGTTTTAAAGTAAAAGGTCATTGACCAAAGCAAAGAATTTGAAGAGTGTAATAAAATGTTTTGCACTTTCACTGTTTTGCATTTCACAATTTGAGTCATAGTTACTAAGTCTGAAAAGTCTGTGGCACAGTTATGCCTGTGTCAGTGACAATAGGCACTTACCTAGCTCAGTTACTTTAGTCTCTTGTGCCAGAGGTCAAAACAGGGCACAGCATGCAGTCGTACGTACTTCTGTCCATTAAAAGAACACTCCAGGCATCCATAGACTGTCTCCCTTTTAGAACTTCCCATTCCACAGAGGACACAAGGACCTTTGGGGATGTTGTTGTTAAGTAAATTAATTCGGATATGAGAACCATCTCTGAGATAGCTTGTAGAGAGATCGGTCATGCTCGCAGCTTTATCATAATAATCAGTAAAAAGGTCCTCCAAGTAAGGATCAGAGTTAGCAATGATTTCCACTACTCCTTTATCTGAAAAAGAATGCATAAGAAAAAGAAGCAATGATTTGTCACTACATTATGAAATGTTGTTTAGAAAACAGCATCAGCCTAATTATAGAAACAAGTGATTCATGAAACCATTCTAGGCATGTCATATAAATTATTTCCCATCAAAAACCCTGTGCGTTGAAAATTTTTCTGTAACTTCACATAAGACACTGACATAAGCCAGAATGTTTTTATATGACCTATATAATTATATTTTTAGAAATACACCTAAAAGATAGGCATGAGGCAAGCTTCTGAGAAATTGGTGCAAAGTCAAACCACAGCTGTGTACTTCCCTGCTTTTATTTTTTGCATTTCTAGTTTTATATTCTAAACATTGTAAATTCACTTTTCTTTCCTGTTATTTACAAAACAATCCCACTAATACTTAACAGGTTTAGAAAACTTGGAGGACTCCCTGTTGACCTCCTAGCAGATTTCTAAGCACCCAAATACCCTACCTTTTCTTTCTCTTTTCAGCAATTGACTAGTTTAGATTGACAAACTTTTAGGCAGCTACAGCTACTGAGATGTGTCATACCCACTGAAGATTTTTTCCCTTAGTGTCAACTGGAGCAGCACTGAAGGCTTGGTCCATAGAAGTCCTCTGATTGAGAAGGGGATACAATGGAGCAAGGAGACCTATACAGAGCAGCCTTTAGACAGACATGTTTATGCTCAGCATTTATCTTCAAAGTCAGATTTGCAGATTTCCACAGGACTTGGACCAAGGAGTACTAAAAGTGTAAGATCTTGGTCTGAAGAAAATACAGCTGCATACAGTAATACTCAGTTTTGTTGCATGTTGTGTTCATATCAGAATGAGTAAAGAGAACTATGATGGTATCTTGCCCATGTCCCTGCCATGTGAACATACAGCCTAAGGAGTACATTCAAATATTTAAATTCATATTGTTTGGTATTTAAACTTACAGCATTTGCCCTCAAATATTAGTATAGATTATAACTTGTATTGCATAACATGAGCTGTAAATGGCAAGCATAGGAAATAGGTTCAATGTTAACTGAAGTTAGTTGTATAGTTATTCCATACCAGTTTATCAACAGCCATAATTTTTACTTTAGGATCTTTACAATTTTAATGAACAGCAATACCATAGATTTGTTATTTCCGAACGAGCCAGATTCTCAAATACAAATTTTAATAACTTCACAATCATGTCAATACACTAGAAATTGAGAGGTACGTTTCCTGTCAAAATTTCTTTCTTTAAACATTCATCTTGCATTGAAATTAAAGAAACAAAAATACATTTTTCATGCATTAAATAAGACATTATATATATATATATGAAGTCATACTTCGATGAAAGAGATTATTCTTTAATCTCCTTAGTTTGGTCAGTGAAGATGGTCCAGATTTCTCTTTTTCAAATCCTCCTTTTGCAATTGGAGTCACACAGAGTTCTGTAAAAATGAAAACTGTATTTTTAAAAGAACAAAATATAAACCCCAGAATGGCACAACAGAATTTAATATTTTCTCATCAGTAAAGCTAACAGTTATTAAATTCAGCTTTGCTTATTTTTTTAATGGTTAGTAAAACTTTTTAATACAAATCTGCACACTTTAATAGCTCATAGAATCAAGTGACACTGTTTCAATGGGAATTTTTAAATGTTGGAGGCTTTCAAATAACATCATCAGAGCTTGCTTTGGTTCACACACAAATTATGGCTTTGTTAAGGGACTAAGTCAGTATCATATGAATGGAAGCCCTAATTCTGAAGGAGAAGCATTTCTGTGGTCTTATTTGAAAATAAAAATGAAGAATAATAAGCAAGGCTGTGAGTTCTATAGTCACCTCTTCCAATCAAGTATTAAAACCTTTTTGTAAATAAAAATAAAAAACATCTATGATTCTATCCATAACTTGAAAGAAAACCTTTAAAGTGAAATATAAGCTATGCAATTTTTTTTATTAGTTTCCAATAACCATGATTATTTCCTCCTAAATATCTTCAGATATCCATATGTGGTAATGATCAGTATCAGATTGAAATTAAAGACCCAATAGAAAAAAAAATGTTAGCTTAGTTTAGAAGTTTTGTACACTTTTTTGTTTACTTTGGTCTTTTTATTTGCCTACTTTATGCAAAACTGATCAGATAGTCTCATAAGCCTGTTCCTTAAAGGCTAGAAATATAAGTAGGTGATTTTTTTTTAAATACAACTGCAGGATTAAAAAGAAATACAAAATCATACAAACTGTTAAAAAATATTTCCACAGCAAACTGTTTTCTAGCACCTGCCTTGTTTATCTTTCCAAGCATTTTTTCTCTTAGAAGGTCAGAATACTTATGCACATAACATTAAAGCGTACCATTGTATGGGATCAGGGCTTTGTATATCAGGAGTAGTAAAACTATTTTAAAATCTTAAATTTTAAAATTTAAGATTTACTGCCATTTAAAAAATGGTAGTAATTCACATCACTCACCAAAATTACCATCCAAATGAATATAGAGTTCAAATACACTAAAAGCAATAGTTGTATGTGCAGGAAAAACAATGGCTTTGTCCCGCCCTTTAGAATTCTGATCTTCAATAATGTGAAACTATAATTTAGAGAAGCATCAAAAGAAAAAACAGTTACAATTTTCAATGAAAAAAATAAACAAAATAGCATCTCAAAATGCATATATTGAGAGTTATAATGCCAGGAGGAAGCTTTGAAACTGAAGATCAAATAGTTAAAGAGTTTTCTATTAACGTGTTTGTATTTTAATAAAGTTTGATACAGAGATAGCAACTTAACTTGCATCACTCATTGAAAATTACGTGAATGATTTAAAAATACTAGTAATGGGCAAAGTCAGAAGATTTGTATGTTCAATTACTCAAATGCAAAGAGGGGGAGAGGGAGGAAGGACATAAGACATGGAGTAAGATGCCAACCCTCAAAATAATAACAACCTGAAGTTCCAATATGTTATAAAAGATTATTATAATAATGAAAGATAGGTTATACATTTATTGGAAAGTCAAGCTAAGAAGATGTAAATTCCACATTTTTGCTGAGGCTTCACCCCAAGCAATGGTTCATTGTCTAGACATCCCTTCATGCATTCCCCATCCCTCAGTCACATAAGCATTGCTAACAAAAGACCAACTTTTAAATCACTTTACATCAATACAGTAATATTGATTTACTTTGGATTTTTTTTCTGAGCTTACGCAATAAAATGCAATTAAATCCAACCATAAAATTTATAAAAATGAGCTTTTTATGCTTGATCATATAAGTAACAGAACTTTGTCAAACATATTTACCCTCATTGTCTCTCCACGCATTCCAGTATGGACAGTTAATGAGCACTGCCTTGTAGTTCGAATACTTTCCATGACCACACATAAAATTTCCATCCTACTTTTTCTTAATTGATGGACTAGACAATGATCAAAGTTTATTTTCCTAAAAAAAAGAGGGAGGCAGGAAGGAAATTCAGATCTGATTATCAATTTACAAAGCAGCTCATAGAATTAGTAACTTTGAATGAGTAAATAGATCACCATAATGCCTGTTTCATAGCAGCAAAACAACTGGCTGAGGAGATCTCTGGAAACTTAATATTGGCTTTCAGTGTTTGGGAACAGAAGCACTAAGAAATTCAAGGAAAGCCAATAATGTACAAATGTTAGAGACAATGTCTGGGACATTCTGGAAAGTTCAAAGTTGGTCCATCTGACTGATTTTAGTGCCTATAACTGAAAAAAAAAACCCACTCTATATCACTTAAAAACATTGAACAATCATGAAACAAGCATTGGTTGTTAGTTTTATAAGACTGAATCTTTTTATCTAGATCCTTTTCCCCCACTCCCAGTTATTAATGATAATGTTTGAAGGTTAAAAATAAACAGGAAAAGGTAGGTACAGAACAAGAGAGGTTATAGATACAAAATAAAATGTACTGCTTAGTAAATAACTACAGGGAAACAATATATGTTTGAAAATGCCAAAAGTTCCATCATGCATAGTAAATAATTTACTGGGATGCAACACTGAGATTCACTGGGATGATATTGTGACGAAGGGACAATCTTCGAAATATAAAATAAAGAATTACACCTAGAATTAGTCTCATCATATTTCTACATTTAATATTTGTGCTAGCACCACAGGAACACCAAGTTCATTTTCAGTGTCCACAGCTCCACAAGACTGCTGGTAAAACAAGACTGGATTTAGAGAAAAGTCACAGAAGATTATGAAAAATTGAAGTAGATAAACCTATTTTGGTTTTCAAAGAAAAGGCTGTGTAATTACTTCATAAAACCTCAAAGTACCAACATTGACACTAATATATATGGCTCTCCAGTTCATTAAAGGCAAAGAAATCCTGTTTCTGAAACCTGGAGCTGGGTACTGTCATTCAAAGTAAATTTCAAATTTTCAATACTATGATATAACATAGATACTCTGAATCTGTACTTTTTTCTGCGAGATGCACTGTAGTTCAAACAAGAATTCAGAAAATGTGTACAGTCTGTACTATACAGAAGGTCATATGTCTAATCCCAGTGATCCAACCTAAGAACCTATTGGTTGAATAAAAATAATCAAAACCTAGGCATTTCAGCCTTTCAACCTAAAAGTATTAAATATAATTTTGAAACCAGAAATCAAAATATATACTATAACCTTGTAGAAAGTTCTTTAAGTAATCTTGGTACTTCGACCTCGTGTTTGGTCACTATGCCAAATGAAGCTTTAAAGGCAACGGAATCTGATCCAGCAACATCAAAACCAACATCATTCATTATCTGATTTCCTCTTCTACCATTAAGCGAAACATCGGATTTGTCTTCATAGTTGAGCAACTGGTAAGATGAGACACCTGAGTAAAAGAAGAAAATTGCTGGGTGATGAAAAGTCTGAACACAGTATTTCCACAGAGCAAGAATAAATGGTACCATTCCTACTGAGCTTAACCATTTTGATGTGAAATTCAGAGCCACATTGGGCACTTATTGGTGTTGCTGATGATGACTGATGGAAAGAGAGTACACAGGAGTCAGAGGGTTTCTGTGCCTCTCTCTGGCAGAGTTGTGCCCTTGCTCCTGCATGTGATACGTCCTGGCCATGAAATAGTGATTAGGGCTATTCCTAAATTTCTGTGCTTACTATTATTCTCCTAAAGCACTTCTACCTGTAGCTATGCTGTAGGTACACACAAACTATGTATGTCCTGTGTTGTGGCTTTAATAACAGAGGCTCTGAAACCCAAAATGACTCAGCAGAAGCCACACAGAATATTAAAACTATGAATAAAGTGAAAGCCATTGTGTGTAAAAAATATTAGGGAATTCTGAATTAAATTTAGACGCAGTACAAAGGACACTAATGTTTCTTCATTTTTGCAATACGTAAATGAGACGTGGGTGTGCCAGTGACATTAACTCTGCCTTTTACCTGACATGTCACATGTAAAAAGACTTAACACACCTTCCACATATGCCTAATGATTCCAGGGACGATGTCAGTTTATTTTTAAGGAAAAAAATAGATTAGTTCTTACTTGAATTTTGCCTTAAATTACTGTACAATAAAAAGTTAGGTACTAGAGCATTTCTATATTGCTGTCTTTATAAATTTAAATACATTTCTGTTACGCTAATAGGAAATGCATTGACTGCCAATTTAAAATGAACACAGGGATTAGACTTCCAAATATATTTAGGAATCTGGGTTTTACTCCTTTTTTTGGTTTTAATTCTTTGAAGCTTTAGGATAAACTGACATTATGAAGTCAGCTACTATAAATCCTATTTCTCTTTATTTTTAACAAAAAATAAAAGTCATATATTTTTCATAATTATAAAAAGATTACAAACACTTGTCTTTGTCCCATAAAAAAGGAAATTCAACTACAAAGCTCTTTGCTTACGTTAAAGGACAATACTTTCTGCACATGACGTTTAACCTTCACAGAAAAGACTAGTAAGCTTTTGCTAGATTTTTTAATTATATTTTGCAACCTTTTTCTATGACTTTTTAATGAGATTTTTTTTCATTCAGGGCAAGCCAATTGAATTTTCCTGAATGTAAGATTAGTAGGATTAGTGGGATTACAATTTTTTCCATTATGCTTGAATCCTGGAATCCCCACTTCGTGGGGTCAGCAGTTACTTCTGTCTTTTGTGCTCATAATGGTTTGTCTTAATAGAGTTTTTAATTAATGCATTTCTTATGCAATTAGTAGCATCAATATTTTTGTCAAAATGGACATCTTCTCAAAAAATAAAGCTATTAAACTATTTTGGGAAAACATAGCATGTAGACAAGAATTATACACTTTTCAAAGGAAGATACAGGGAAATATAGCCGGCATAGTTCAGTTTTTAACCTCCTAATTCTCACAGAATCTCCTCAAAAATTAATGTTATTGCATAACAAAGGCAATTTAAACACAGTTAAGCTCTTTAAATACACCAAAGAGATTACAAATGTGGAAAAAATCTCACAGAAATCCAATTACATCAGACAGATAGCTCTTGTCAAATGCTTCTGCCTGTGCAGAGCCCAGTTCAGTATAAGGGACTACTAGCATGGAACAGCTGTAAAACTGAGGCCATTCTTACACACTTAAAAGTGAATATACAGAGAAAGGTGTACATTAAAATCAAATTTTAAGTAGCAATTAATCAACACAGATCAGTACAACTATCAGAAATTTGTGGTTTGTGAAAAAACAAGGCTTAACTGAATTTGTTTCATACTAGTTAACAAAATAACAAGGCTTTTTAGTATAATTAATTTTCTCTTTTTTAATTATTTTTCCAAAAAGTCCTTTTCTTCCTATTTATTACATAACTAAGCAAGAAAAATTATCCATTTATTAAAGAACCATCATACTACCTGCACAGTTTAAACTATGTCTACAGTTCTGTATTTACTAGAAAACATGCATTTTTCCACTTTAAAGAATGATAAAAGTCTTACCTGCAGAAATTTCTTTCTCCCCTTCAAGAATGTCTTTTAATGTGAAAGGTGTTGAAGCAAATTTAGACTTTTTTGAAAGCAAGCATTTTCTTTTTTTAATCACAAGGCTCAGAGGCTGGTATTTATCAGCTTCACTGAGGCTGGGCACTGGAACTAGTCTTCCTCCATCACCAACCTGTTTAACAAAGTTTTTGGTTGCAGCAGCAAACATATTATGACATTAGTAATGATAATAATAAAAAGTTTTGTATCATGTGTAACTTCCAGACATCAAGCCCATGTTCAATTCTTTTTATAATTTTCTTTCAAACAAATTAACATGCTTAAAATAAATAAATAAAAAAAAAAGCTGTCAAACTGCTTTTTTTTAGATTGAGTTATATTTCATTTGGAAAGAATCAGCAGCATCTTAGCTATAAAACTGCTGTGGTGTATTGCTTGAGACTTCTCTCAAAGACCTTCAATTAAGCTCTCTAGTTCTGCATGATGAATAATGAATTACAAGTGTAAACTGATAGGGAAATGGTTGCCCTTTTCTTGGCAGTTCAATGCCACTGTCTGAAATCAAAATTTACAGTCATAGAAACAGAAGACTTAAGTTCCCCAACCCTTAGCTCTCCATTAGGAGAGATTGATTTATTGCTGTTTGTTGGGTCCTTGCTGCAGCTGAATTCTAGTGTTTTACCTGCAACCAGCAAAGCAGCCCAGACACGGTCCGGGAGACCGCTGGAATTACACATTCATGAACTCTGGTAGGTCTGCTGAGATGAATGGTATTGCCTTTCACAGCACTTGCATAACCTACCCCAGGGCTAGGTTTGAGCTGCATGTGTTTTGGCTTAGACTACTGAGAAACTCACTAAATTGTGAGAATTGTGTAAAATAATAAAATTGTAATAAAATTAAAATTGCAGACAGAAGTGAGATTATAGATATAGGAACACGGAGCAGTTCAAGGACCCAAGAGGGAAAGCACAAGTGTAAGAAGATACAAAACTGTAAAGAAAACAGGGTTAGTAGAGAGCACTGTATAAGGGAGGCAGCAGGAGCCAGTCCGTCCTCATTTAAACGACATGATTTGATTCTCTTGCAAGAGTGGTGAACATACAACTGGCTAAAAACCTTGTAGCACTTCTTCCAGAGACTCCTGTTGCAGTTACAGAAGTAAAACATCAGCCACAAAGCTTCTAAAGCTACACTTAGGTATGAATATTATCCCTGGTTGCCAGGTAACAGTAAGTTTAATTGGCTTTTTTTCTGAAGTAGGGTTTTCATGTGAAAGCATCTTGAGGACTGTTTTTATAACATGAACACTTCTTTAATGTCTATCGTGTCTATCATGATAGATTTTTGGATAGACAGACATTTAATGTCTATCATGTCTCAATTTAGTTTTTTTCCAATACTTCCATAAACATTCTTAAAGGTTCAGAGTAACAGGAAGTCCAATAAAAAGGCAAAAGGAGGAGTACATTACCTCAGCTATCTACGGTAAAATGAAAGGCTGTCAGAGCTTTCTTCTTACTCTAGAGGGGGCTGAAAAATCAAGTCTGATTACATACAGACTTTGAATTGAAAGCATGTGAAATGATGCCATTAATTCAGGATGCAATTCGTATTACACTGAACTACCAGAAAAACCCTGTATTTACTCAATCAAAACACATTAACAGAACTGAAAAGGTTTTAAAGTGAAGGAAAAGCTAAGGAAATTCTAAAATGAAAATTGGCCATTGATTTTTGATTTAGCTTAATCCTGTCTTAATATGTCTTATAACTGTTTGACAGGATACTATTTTTCCTACAGATAACGAAGCTCAGCTGGCACTGTTTATTCAACATGTATTTGTATTTTTCTTACTCAGTATGTGGTCATACATCATACTCAAACTGATCCTAGCTCTAATTTTGATAATGAATAGTTTCATTTGATATGTTTACATGGCACTTCTGCTACTCTAACACCCTATAATCTACCATAAATGCTGCAGCAGATGTTTGTATCATCCTCATGCCACAGATCTCAGGAGTACAAGTACAGTAACACTGCCACGTTCTGAAAGCATTCGCTAATTTTGTACATCCAAGTGAAGAAACCCGAGATATTTTCCTGCTCTACCAGCATTGGGGACTTCTGTATTTGGCACACAAATATACTTATGAACTTCCAGCATTTCTGTGGCCCTGGCACGTTCTTATTTTGGGCAGTCAATAAATGAAAAACATTTAATTTCCGAGTGCATACGTTGTGCCTGAGTCAGCACCTGAATAAAAACCTTGCTTTCTGTCGCCAAGTTGTGTATATGAAAATCCTTATTCACATTTGGGCTGAAGGTTACCCCTGGGGGGGGGTCAGGCCTATAATGTTCTGCACCCCTTAGCCCAGAATCCTGTAAAAGTTGATCCTGAAATTGTGCAGGATCTGCTGCTCAGCCTGGATTCCTACAAATCTACGTGGCCTGACGGGACTCATCCAAGCCATTGGCTCACAGGTTGAGCACAGAAGATAATAGTGAACTGGAGACTTGTCACTAGTGGGGTTCTGTAGGGCTCCATCTTAGGCCCTGCACTCCTCAACATCTTTATAAATGACTTGGACACAGGACTGGAAGGGACACTAAGCAAGTTTGCAGACAATACAAAACTGGGAGGAGCTGTGGACTCCCTTGAAGGCAGGGAGGCCCTGCAGAGAGACTTCGACAAATTAAAGGACTGGGCAATCACCAACCATACATATGAAGTTCAACAAGGGGAAGTGCCAGATTCTGCACCTGGGATGGGCAACCCTGGATGTAGGTACAGACTGGAGAATGAGATGCTGGAAAGCAGTGCCAGGGAAAGGGACCTGGGGGTCCTGGTCGATGGCAAGTTGAATATGAGTCAGCAGTGCCCTGGCAGCCAGGAGGGCCAACCGTGTCCTGGAGGGCATCATGCAAAGCATCGCTAGGTGGGCAAGGGAGGGGATTGTCCCGCTCTGCTCTGACCTGGGGCAGCCTCACCTGGAATACTGTGGGCAGTTTTGGGCACCACCATATAAGAAAGATACTAAGCTATTTGAGAGTGTCCAGAGGGCAAAGAAGATGGTGAAGGGCCTTGAAGGGAAGCCACATGAGGAGCAGCTGAAGTTGTGTCAGGGGAAATTTAGGTTGGATATTAGAAAAAAGTTCTTCCCCCAAAGGGTGGTTGAGCATTGGAACAGGCTCCCCAGGGAAGCCTGACAAGAGTTTAAGAAGCCTTTTGATGATACTCTCAGGCACATGGTGTGACTCTTGGGCATGGTCCTGTGCAGAGTCAGAAGCTGGACTGGAATGATCCAGCTCAGCATATTCTGTGATTCTGTGATTGACAAGGCATCCCATCTGCCTTCCCTACACAGAGTCCTTCACAGAAGAACAAAAGGACTTTTCTAGCCCAATCTTAGCCCATCTTTATACATTACTGGAATGAGGTCATACTTGAACCCTCACTTTGACCCAGGCATCTTTTAAAAAAAAAAAAAAAAAAAAAGACCTAAAAAATCCACCTGCCAGATTGCTCAGAATTCATTTGTGATGACCTTTGTTCTTGATTGAGCCTTTCTGAATCATATACAAACTCACTGCTGGTGTCAGAAAAAATCATTCCTCCAGTTTCCCCATTTTCTCAATCATCAGAACACACTTTCTTTGTTACCCCTTCTGTGTCTACTTATATACCCTTGAGCCTTGTAAACTGATCAATCAATCAATCAATCAATCAAGATTCTTACTTGTAGAAGCCTCATTTGCCAATGTATCTGCAGAGCAGGTGAACCTACATTTGGAAGGAGGAATTCTGTTCAAGAAAAAATACGAAACTATGTCAAGATCTATTTTTACGGGGTTTTAATCGATTTTCCTGTCTCTACAACTCCAGCATTACTGCTCTCTGCTCCGACCTACCACCCTCTGTTCTGCCTCTCTTTGCGCTTGTCTCCTGCAGACCAAATGCGCTTCTACATTTGCCCAAGAACAGCTCATGCCTCAATATGGGGAGCAGATTCAACGTAGCTTATTCAGTTCCATGTTCTTCATTTTCTTTCCTATGATCCTCACCAGGAGGGAACAGCAAGATAATTTGTTTCCTATGTGAGACGAGTTCTGTTTTTTCAGAGTGGGTCTTAGCCATGGAACAATAACAGAGCAAGCCTTAGCTATATGTAGTTGACAACTTTTAAGCTTAAATACTGCATTTTTTCCTTACATCATATTGATATGAATGTGGAGATTTTTTAAGAGTAAATTCTAGAGGACTGTCCTGCCTTATGCATAACCTTTGAGGATGCAGAAGGCTTCTTGCAGTTATTAGGTAATTCCATAATGGTTCTTGTTTTACTATTAGATAGTTATCCTACATTATCCCTGCAAGAATATTGGACACCTGTAATTATGAGGTGTCTAAAGAGATTTTTCCAAGGAACTGAATATGTGGAACTATTTCACAATTTTCAATCCAAAAACCTTAAACCACCTGTAGATTATTTTGATGTTTCTTGTAACCCATGTGAACTGATCTGATTTTGTTTCTTGTCACAGTCAACCATATAATAAAATTAGTATGAGAAAGCAGTCAGCTTTCAGTGTTAACTGATTGGATAAACCAAGTTGATGTTTCACTTGAAAGGATTAAACCCACAATCTGTACCAAATTATACTGGTAATTTGTTTAATATCTTCTTAGTGTGCAAAAAGATTCCATTGGTTGACAGACCTCCTTGCTGAATTGCCTTTGATCTGTATTATGCTTACCTACAGATCTCTGCCAAGGAATAAGTGCAAGAATTTAACATATAAAAACCAGCAAAAGAAAATGCTACTGAAAAAAATTACTTGCAAAATTCCACAACTTTCCAGCATATGGCATGAGTACTTCCCTAGAAAGACAGGATCTGTGCAATACAGATCCTGTTATATATTCAGGTGGTAAGAATTTATGGGACAAAATATGGTCCTTATTATATTTTATTTCTTTAAGGTGGAGTCTGCCTATAGGTTCTCTAGTATAAGCAAAACCAGCCAGTTCCCATACCAAGTTCAGGGGGATGAGGGCATTACCACTGTCAAGCTGAACTCCTGATTTAGCAGTTTGCTGGGATACTGGGGTCACTTGGCACGTTGCTTGCAGTGAATGCTGCTCACAAAGCGTTATGGCATTCAGAGATCACCGTGGGAAGGAAAGCAAGAAGGTTTTCAGCAGACTTAGCTTCAGCAGAGATACTTCCATGTTGGATTTCTTTCTAATACAGTCCAAGTGCAGTGGAAATTTTAAATTAGTTCCCAAATGATATTTTCATTATGCAGTATAGGGGAACAATTGAATTAGCAGTGGCATATTTTAATTTTGTTGCAAAAGCCCAGTCCTAAAATGTTTTAAGTTGCCTGCATGCTTTAATTCTTGTGGAGCCACATCCTTTTGAATATTCCACCACTGTTTGTAGTGTCATGAGAAAATTTTAATAAGAAGCTTCTAAAGGTATCTATTTTAATGGACCTGTGTGTTTATGAAACTTTTGTGTGTGAACAGTTACTTTACAAAACAGAATGAACTTAAAAAAAAAAAATTAAAAGGTCCAGGAAATGCTGTCATCCTTTTCTATACAGATATCTAAACCATAACTTTAGGGCTGTTCTAAACTATTTTCAGGGTCACCTTAAGCAGTCCATTTGAAAGACATGCAGCACACACTTGCTATCACTTTGCTTCTTACATATCACTCTTCCAGTTTACAGCTCAAGCAAACTGTTGTGACCTCCTTCTATTCTCCGCTACAGAATAAACTATGACAATACATACTCACAGTCCGTGCTACACACACAGAAAAGTTAGATCTCCTGCCAGGAGGTGCTGTGCGGTGCACGTCACCTGCCCAGCAACCAAAGCATTTAAAGCTGTACTGCACTGTAAGCTTTACATCAGTGAAAGGCTTCAAGACGTGGAGTTCAACTGTTTTCTCTCTGTCTTTTGGTTGACATTACCCCTCTTTCACCTTTAAACAATCAAACATCTGTCAACCTGGATGTGCTGCACAGTTGGTTCCTTGTACCACTTCACTGCCTTCTCACTAGAGCCACGTTGATGATAAAAGGAAACACAAATGCAATTAAGGAACACACATTCTGGTGAGTTTTATATGTTCTTCAACAGACTTACCTTCAGGTTTCAGACCTTTGTTCTTGGATGCGCAGATTATTGCAGATCAGTGTTTCACGTGTCCATCTTTAGTGTGTATGAAATACCCCAGCTTTTGCTTCTTTGTAATTGCCCCAATACAACTGGGCAGATGGATGTCTTAGCTGTGAAGCATTTACTAAAAAGACATGCAAAAATAGTCCTCCAGGGACAGATGTGCTGAGATAGTATGTTTGCATTTATACTTACTACCTATGAGAAGCAGGCCCATCTTTCAGCCAAAAGAAGTGGTCAATTTGTTACATAAACATTACAGCATACAACCAAGCTACTTCCACCAATCAAAATAGAGTACCTGGGTTTGAATAATATTTCAGTTTAGTTTCTTTAAATCTGATTTAGTAATAATTAGTCACCCAAAAAATAATTTTGCATATTGTGGTGCAGGAAAACTCAATATTGCATACTTGTAGGTTTCTTTAACATTTAGGCCAACTTAAATATTTAATGAGATCATAAGGACTTGGAGAACCATGTAGCTTGATATGTTCGCTGTACAAACATGCTGTGTATCATCACATTAGAACAGATTTTTGTACCAGCAGTGAAACTTGGAACAGCTTTCTGTGGGCAACTCCTTTAGCTGAGTCAGGATGAAATCTTGTCAACAGCTTCCCACACTGTCTCTCTTCACCACACCACAGCGCCTACATGTTTGTGGTTATGAAGAAGTATCATCTGTCTCTTGGTTAGATTAAATTTAAATATATAATTTACTTTCATACCTAAAGTAATAGTTTTGATGCTAAATTAGTTGTCAGGTTGCTAGTGCTGCCTCACAGGCCTCTTGTACTCTATTCCCAAAGGTTTGTTGTGTTGATCTTCTTTTAATCAACTAAGTAACGACAGAACTTTTCACACTTCACTCATGCACAGAAATTTCGCTGAGTCACAGTCATTCAGAACTGTTCGATTTGTTTTGCAAAGCATTCAGAGGCAAAGTACAGATCTCAACTACTCAAATGTGAAAGCAGAGCTGATTTTTGCTCACAGAGTTCTTTAACAGGGAATAAGTTCCCAGTGTGCCACCTGCCTCAAAGCATTGGTTTGAACAAGATCAGATGTGTACTCTGACACAAGAAAGAAAGCACTGCCATTCATGAAAAAAGCTTTTCCTTTCCTTTGCAATTGCTTCCACTCAGGCAGCATTCCAGACTGTTTGAACACTTGTTCTTTTTATAATGCCAAGAAAAAAACCCTTATTTTCTCCTCCCAATCAAATTCTTGGTTTTTATGTTTTAAGGAAATTTAATGGTTGAACAACTGACAAGAACACATAATGGAAAAATGCCATACCACTATTTTTCCAAGATTCCAGAAGGGGTGAGTGTCAATTTTTTTTTTTAATTTCCACACCTCTTTTTTCAATTCTATTAGAGAACATCAGGACCTGTTTTTCCTACACCCTCTCACAAAACTTGGGGAGCATACTGCAAGCTCCCTTTAATCACAGAGAGCAAGATGAAGTGAAAAAAAATAAAAAAAAGCTCTTACCAGCTGTAGCATGAAGATTAAACCAGGAACTGCCAAAAAGAAAATTACCTTCTTTGAGACTGCAGTTGATAGTTCCTGACAGATCTAAAGGAAACTGTGCAGAGAATCACATGGGACAAGTTTTACTAAAATATTCCTGCAGTGGAAAAAGGTTAGAAAGGAACAGTGATGCTATTGAGAAGCCACTGTTTCAGTGCTATTGCTGCCACTATCACCCACCTCTTCTAAATCAATCTGTACAATATATATTAAGAATTTTACAATTAATACCCAATTCACTTCACCAGCTACAAATAGTTCATTCAAAAACCATATTCTCAATGTTATGTTAATAAATCAGAACACAAATGACAGCAGTTTAAACAGTGTACATTGAGATTTATTAGAACAAGCACTAATAGCAGCAGTGTACAGAGTGATGGAGACAATGTACTGTATGCACTGAACAATAATAATTATACAATTGCACTTCTTCAGAGATCTATTAGAAAATGCTTTTCAGTAAACAGTTTCCCAAATCTAGCATTGTTTGGATTTGCCTCTGAGGAAAAAAAATACAAAAAATATGCTTTATCTTTTTTTTTTTTTTTTTGGTAAGGCATTAGCAACATTCATTGGCAGGCTACACAAGTCATTTGTACATGCATTATCCAATTACATTGCAACAGGTAAAAGAGCGTCATGTTTCCTCAAAAACTAAAACTGTGTTATGTGTTTTGGACACAATATCCTGGTAAATCTGACTTAGTCTGAAGGAAACAGATGACATCTTTTGTTACGTTTTAGAGCACAACAAAAACTATAGCATAGCCAAGTTCACTTTTTATTTCCTACCAGAAGCTGTAGGACCTCCTTCAGTTGGACTTGGTATTATGGGTATTGTGTATACCACATATATCACTGGAAAAAAGTCTTAATTATTACTTTTTGTTTACTATTCCCCCCACTACCACCTCCCTGAATCATGTGGCCAAAGGATGCTTGACTGTAATCAACATTAAATACTGAATGAGCTTGGTTTTTATTGCATGAGAGGTAGTCAGTGTGAGGCCTCATCTGCTCTCTGGATTACTACAACAGTACGTTCAAAACCAACATATAAGTGCAAAGACACAGAGTAAGTGTTGCAGCTGCATTACATGGAAACTTAAAACTGTTCTCTTAACTGTTCCTTTCTGGCTAGGTTCAATCTCAGAAGTAGCCAGAAAACTCAATATACCAAAAAAAAGCAATTCTGTTTATGTGCTAAAGCCTTAGACAGAAGAGGCACTTTCTTGCATTCATGCTTTTCTGGGCTGAGATTAGAAGTGTGCTCTTAGTCAGCCACCCCCTTCTCCACAAATCAGAAAGATCAGACTCCTTTTTTTGACTGGCATACAGTGGTAGCAACCTTAAACTCTGGCCAGGCACCATTGTGGGGAAAGTATAGGGAAACGGGAAAAAAGAATTGCAAATATTCTTACAATTAAGCTTGCCAGAGTGAGACATAATATGATAAATTGTCATTGTTTCAATGTACTGTTCTTTCTTCCAAATGTCACATCTAATTGAGCTTTGCAGAGACATGAAGTTAAGTTGTTTTTAAATACCACAAGCTCCAGAACAAGGTTCCAAAACGCAAGCGAGTCAAAGGAAAGTCAAATATATTGCTCTGAGCGGCAAGCGGTCAAACCAACTGTATTTCACACATTTTATCTTCCACAACTCGGTGCACATGTTCAAAATTAATCTTTAGTGCAACTAGTTGAATAACTAGGCTTGACTGCACATTAGGCCTACAGCTGAAATAGATTTAGGTAGCTACATCATCCACTCACCTGAAAGCTCACTGATTTCAATGGAGAATGGAGTACCAACAGCAGCTCAAGCCTTGTCTGTGTAGAAGCTTATTTGTTTAAGCATATAGGAACTAAAAATCAACTAATCTAAAGCCTGGTGTAACCAGGTAACCAGCTATGTATTTTTCCTAGGAATTTCACTGTTGAGCATTTTTATTTGAACTTAAGCATCTACATCTTTTAAACTGATTTAAACTGCAATGTTCATACTAAGTATTCTTGCCTGTACAACATCAGAGTCCAAGCAAATGAAGCAGAGAAAAATCTGATGTGCATTGCTGATTAACTCTTACAGTGAAATAAAAGTCTATAGATTTGGAATATGCAAATTATATTCTTTCTGTATTATTCCTCAGCTCCTGATGCCTAGTAACCATAAGCAATAAAATTATTTTTACAGGCACAATTACAGCCCATATTTGAAATCAGAATAATAAGACATAAAAAAGAATCATCCTGAAGACATCTCAAACTTGTGAAGTCAAGCATGGATGAATGCATTTGCAAGAAATCAATCATGATCAATCAAGAATATTTTTTAATGTTAAATTACTGAATGCACTATGAGGGACTAAATTTATGCTTTTGAAAATTGCAATATAATAAGTAGCTTATATAATTTTCACCACAAGTGTTTGCAAATCAATATTCTATTGAGTATTTAGAAATGATGGTATTGGGGTTTTTTTCCCTGTATCCTATTCTTCTTCATCTCATTATTTAAGTCCACAGTGAACGTTTGAGCATAAAATTAAGGGTGCTGCAGGTAAGGCTTAGTACTACAGTGCTCAAAAATAATGCCTTCTGCAACAGTTGGGTGGCTGGGTACATAAATATTTCTTAGTGTCTTTCTTTCCCTTAAGCAACCCTTTTCTCTTGCTTTCAAACAACAGAAAGAATTTTATCTGGTGCATCTAGGAATTCAGACCCTTTCTCATTACAGTCTGTTATTTCCCTCTAAAACAGACACTGTCTACCCAGTACTGAAAAGTAGCACTGGCTCTATATGTTATGCTTCTAGAAAGCAACTATTTGCCTTCAAATTCATCTTAAAAATCACAAAGCAAGTTTCTGTATGCCTTTCTTGCTGACATAATAGCATAATCACAGTGGGAAGACTCTGAGAATCCCCTTTTACAAGTATGCTACGCGAAGAGATGTACGAGGAATGAACAGATATGGGGGTTTTTTCAGAACAAGCACAGGGATATGGGCAATCAGCAAAGAATGCTCTTTTAGCTATTTAGATTCTGACATTTTGGTCTGATAAAGAATTGGCATGGGGCTGTTTCCCGTCTAAAAGGCTGTTAAAAGCAAAGAAGCTCAGTAAGGCAATGTAAAAATGACAGCTAATATAACTTTACTCTTCTAATAGCATTCTCATAATCTGAGCAAGGTAAAAAATATGAACATTTACTACATTTCCTAAATGTGCGCATGGGATCCAGTCACACCAAAAAAGTGTGACATTATTCCAAATTTATATGTACTTTGTGCAAAAGTGTGAGAAAATACAAAATTCTTTGCTACTGAAGTACTAGGAAATCATAAATCACTAACCACTTAATTATACAGAGAAAAGTAGATAAAGACCCAGAGAAGAGTCTTGCTACTGGTTACAACAAAGAAAATATACCTAATATCCTAATACAGAACTATCTTAACAATCTCTCTGGATTCTTAATTTTTGTTTAATTTTATGATGGCTTTTTACATACTAAATAAAAGTATCCTCTTCAGACAATCTAGCAGTAACAGATGAAGAACAAGTAGTTTGCTATGCATTTTGAGGAACAAAACTATCTCAGGCATCAAATACTAGCAGCTTGATTTCTTACTTATTTTATAGTAAATAACTTAGACACCAATCAATATACATAGAAGAATCCCTTTGGAAAAGCCCACTGATATTTCTGTTTGGTCCAAGGGTGAAATTTTATTGGTCCACCCTGAGAGCTGGAGATTTAGCAAGATGTGAGCATTAGGTGCAAGACAGAAGCATCACTGTTTATGTCTGCAGAGTTCCAAACATTGTTTAATTTTTAGAACACAAACTTCATATGTGATTAATTCTCAGTCAGGAAATAACTTTTGAAAACAAGTAGTTTACAAATAATTACAAAGGAACAAAAACAGTGTCTTTGCTAATTAGAATGAAAGCTTGACTAAGGTAGAAGTTGTCATTTTGCATTTATCCCTGCATACCAAAGTACACTCATCAGCATTTATTTTTCTGCTCAGTCGGGTCTTCTGTGAGACTTAGCTGAAAATAAAATTTATTGTGATCTGAATTTATTATTCTATATGTCAACCACTAAAGAACACAAGTAACACTTATTTTGAGAACTAAATAGACCTATTTTCTAACCTCAGATTGGAATGACAATTTTCAAGGTTGATTTTGAGACAGGTGACAAAGTGATTTTAATATATTTATTGTGATCCAGTCTCAAAATATTTTATAAAATATTAAGCAGATACAAGGATAGTAGATCTCACCTGTGATTCCTCCATCTAGTTAAATGAGCTATCCTGAATTTTCCTTTGCCTGGAAAATAGTAAGGATTAACCTTGTATTAACTATGTTAATGTTACTGTAATATTCCTTGTTCAGGTGAATTTAACAAAGAAAGAGAGAGAATTCAGCACAGGACTAGTAGACAAGAAATCTGAGTTTGCAGTCCTGACTCTAACACTGATTGTTCTTGGTGGATCTGACAAATCAACCACTGGAACACAAGTGCAATCCTAGGAAGTGATGCTACTTCAGAAAAAGACACTGCATGTGTGGCTGCACCAACTGGCACAAGGAGTAAGTATCTCAGTGAAGAACAACAGTTCTGGTTGGATATTTCCCAGTGTGTGTGCTGCTCTTGTATAGCACATCATTTTGATACTCAGATAAGTTACCCACTCCTGAACTTTTGAAGGAATTTCCTCACCTCTTCCCATTTTGCATGCCCAATGTTCTGGGCCAGCAACATTATATATTAGCATAAGATATCCCCCTTTCATCAATGCAGACCATTAAAAGTAGCAGTCAATATGGAAATACATTTTAGTGTTTCACAGGAGACATCTGAATCATTGCTCCAGGAGTACCAATAAGTAGCTTTACCACACTTAAATGAATTATTCATAGGTTAGAAAGAATATATTACAAACTGCTGATTATATATTCAGACTTTATGGTTTCTGTATTTATAAAATATGTAACTCCCTTTGTCCACATTACCAAGACACCTTCAGCCAAATGCTGGCTACAGCCATTTTTTATTTATAAAAGGAATAAAAACTTCCCTTCACCTTCACATTAATTCTGAGCAAATGTCACCAGTCTTCCCTTTTTTCATGCTGTCATGGATCAGTGCAAAGAAAAATGGTATTAAGATAACCTGCCTGAAATGAATTCAACAGCTCCACTGACATTTTAATTTATAGAAGTTAGAAAACTTTGTATTTTTTTACATCTCATACAGACAGCTTCTGTGACTAGTTTCACCACTCTCCATTGTTGTCTCCTCCTCCCCTTTCTTTTCTGAGGTTTGTCAAAGATTGCACGGAAGGTAAAAAAAGTGAAAGATATGAGGGATTTATAACGCCACAAAATTTGACAAAGGAGAAGATTGGCATATAAAACACAAGTACAACAATATCACTTTTTAAACTTGCAAGAGACCATATAAAAATCCTTTTATAAGAGGCCTTCTAATTTAGTGAAAGAAATATGTAGTTTACACCAAAGCCAATGAATGGAAGTACTTTACATACCCTAGTTTAAAAAGCAAATAATGCATTTGCTTTTGTAAGTAGACTCCTTACAATATATAGTACAAAAATAAAGTAAATTGCTATAAATAAGCCGTTTCTCTGACCTTACTCAGATTTGCAACATTCTTCTGGGTTCCAGACACTGTTCTAATTAAACCTATATTAACATACTTAGTCTAGATTCTTCTGTTAAAAAAAAAACAAAAACAAAAAAAGAGAAAATAATAAGAAAAAAAGACCTTTCTTAATGAAAATACTGAGTGTTATCAGAATTATCATAAAAGTAACCATGGATGGTAAAGTAGAAAATTATACTACTTTTTATACTAAATATATCTCGACTTCTATCAATATATTTACTAAAGAGCAATTTCAAGTTTTATACAGTTTTAAGGACTAATATTTAATGACAGACAGAAAGAAAAAGCAAGATAGTATTTTTCACCCCAGTAGCTGCCCAGGTAAGCAGTTATAGCAAATTTTGTTAACTTTCTCCCAGGCCTGTGTATAACACAAGGTTACCAGTGAAGCCACTCCAGTGTTTCTTACACAATTTTGTCAACGTTAATCTTATTCCACCAGGTGAGCCAAACTCTCTAACTTAATCCCTACTGTAAATTTAGCATATGAATACAAATACACTCTCAGGTGGATTTAATCTGGAAAAGTCTCTCTTACTTTCATTATGCAGCTCTAGTATTAGTCTGAACATATAAAAATGTTAATTCCTCAGATTACAACTGCAGCCGATGGCATGTTAAATAGTTACTGTTTATTGTTGCACCAGACAATGTTTAAAATCCTGTAAAATAAAGAGACCACACAAACCCTCCCTATACTAACACAGCTTTGCTAGGGAAAGAAACTTAAGCAAAACACAGAGAATTGGTACATTCAGCCCTCTTGGTTATTGTGCAATTGCAAATGAACCTCCCTTCCCTTAGGGTATTTCTAAAAATTCAGATTTTTTGAGAGAAACTCAAAGCAAGACTACATTTGTGCTGGGCTCCACTGGTGAGAGGTGAGAAAATGATGTGACCTCCACTGCAAACAGAGGACATGGACATAGCCCAAATGCAAACTCCTCAGCAGGTGCCCATGAGGGCAGGACCAGCACTGGCTCCTAGTGTGCCCTAAGGTTTGTGTAATTTGCTTGCTGACAGTGTTCAGTAGGTAATTAAGCATAATATCTTTCAAAACTGGGCCATGTATATGCACTGTAATACCTGACATATTCCTGGCATGTGCTATTCAAATAAAACCTACAGATGCCATACAACCTCATTTGGAGTCAGAAGTTCAAAATGAGGAAAAAAAAAAGGGTAACATTATTTGCAAGATGAAAAGACTACTACAGTGTGATTTTCACTTTTAAAGCTAAATACAAAAAAGTTTATTTCATGCAACTTACATCTGTCTAAAATTAGAATGGGTGTCTAGATGACTTTTTAATCACAGTGATACTGTATGAAAACCAACTCATATTCAAATAGTCTCTCCCAGTGAGATAACAATTTCTGATATGCAGAAAAATCTACCACCTTGTTAATACTGATCTAAAATAAGAATGAAGCTATTAAGGTCTTTGTCACACATTACATCTGATGAAAATAGCTATTATTACCGATCATATTCACAGTTCCAGAGCAGGGAGGAAATTAAGATACACATTTAAAATATTAATTGAAACTACAGCTCACTATTATGAAAAAAAAGCATGAAAGTTGTGTATTTTGTACAGAAATAAGTGCTCTGAGAAAAAACAGGGAAAAAAGTAAGGGATATGTCTCTCAAGTGAAAGTTAGTGTACCTTAAATTGCTTAAAAGGTTTTAAATGCCAAAAGATTACACAAATTTTCATCACCTACCAAACCTATAGCAATTAAATCTACTGAGTTGGATAGTATTTTTCATGCCTTCCAAAAGGAAAAACTGCCTGGATGAATGGAGAGATGTGGGCTGAAAACTGTCTAAATGCCCAGGCTTGAAGGGCATTTATCAATGTTTTACGCCCCGCTGGCAGCCTGCAATGAGGACAGCCCTGCAGGGACCAATTTTGTGGCCCATGTCAATCAACATCTCACCAGTGACCCAGACAAGGACAAAAGACTACATGCTAACGAGTTCACAGACGACATTAAATCAGGAGGATGAGATGGCATGCCAAATGGCAAAGCTTGAACCAGAGGGACACTGCTCACCTTGAGGACTGGACCAGAAAACACTTCATGAGGTTCAATAGAAGTGGAAAGATCTGCTCCTGGAGCAGAAAAATCACACATGCTGAGAAGGGATGCCTGAGCAGAAGCCCTGCTAAAAAGAGCAGGTACTTACAATAGGTGCCAGGCTGCAAAACAGCCAGTGGTGCATTCTCTTTGCAACTTTGGATACTCCATTCTGCACTACATGGGCAGGGGATGTGAAAAGAATGCAATTCCCTGTGACTCAGTGCTGTGAAATTTCACAGGTTGACTAAAAATTGTAATTTGGATAGAAGCCCCTAGACCCACTGTCAATAGAAACAGCCCAAAATATGCCATGATGTCCATCAACATTAGAGAAAAAAATGTAATAACAGACTTTGCACAGAATCCAGAGAATTCGGCACTATAGAAACTGCTTTACAGTACATCTGGTAGCACTTTTCAACTTCTGATAAAGAGTGAAAATATTTTGTGTTGCATCATGTTGTGTTTTCTCTACTTACTAATTAAACTAATTTAACATTCACTAGACTTAGAAAGTGCCTTCAATAGAAAGATTTAGCATACCATGGATTTTTTAAATTCTAAAGATATTAATGCTATTTTTCTTTCAATGAGTGTCAAATAAACTACTGTAAAAAACAATTCAACAATAGCATCTTCACTGTTCACCAAGTTCCAGTTTGCATTGCAAATAATTCCATTCACAAAGCACTACCAGAACACTGTAAAACTAACGACCTTCTTTCTGTATTTAAATTAAAAGTCTGAGGACATGCAGTTCTGTCCCTCAAATGTACTTGCAGTCATACACACATAATTCTTCCTAATATCACGGTGAACTGCACACAAAGACTGGAGCAAGAGGTGGACAAGTGTTTAATAGAGTTGGTTTTAAAGAAAGCAACACAGAATAATTAATTGCTATTTTGCACACAATGCGCAAATTTGATTCATAGTGATGTTATTAAAGCAAGTAGGATGAAGTTAACAAAATATTACTTAAAAACTCAAACTTTGATATATTTTCATTTTCTTGTAATAAAAATTGCATAAATAAAAAAAATTAATAAATCAGACTTGGTTCAACTAGGAAAAAAAATATAACATTCTTTGAATAATTTAAAATTTTCTTTGGAAGAAGTCCTATTCATCTGCACATAGTTTTTTTATACCAAATATTGATAAACAATTCATCAGCATTTACAATTCTTAAAAAGCCTACTTAATATGTTCTTTAGGTTTTCATAATTCTGTTAACAGAACTGCATGAAGAAATTGGAACTGATTAGTAGCTAGTTGCCCTGTTAGTTGCTTTGTCATACAATCAATACGGAGAACTTAATTAAGCAACCAAGGTAATCTGAGTTCCATAGGGAGCTGACTCTGCAAAATGAAGAAGGCGGCTGAGAGTTGGGCATGTGTGGTGATCCAGAGTGATCAAGCAGCTCTGCTGGCAGGATCACATACTTATCTAGTAATTTTATTTTAGGTCTCGGTATTGGAATCAATCATAAATAGAAAAATCTGCGTGCACGATGTATGCTGTGTATGGGCAGAAAGAAATACACTGTATATGCATGAAATCTAACCTATCATTGATGGCAGGGTATATAATACATGTATAAATGGAAGACTAGATCATACTATATGGATCTTAGTTTTTACCTAATAAATTACTTTTGTCCTTCTATTAAAATCTGCCCTCCCACTGTTTATCATTCAGAAATTTTCAAACAGAAAGTGCCAAGCCTTCTCCCACTTATATTAACAGAGGCTTAGCAACATGTAAGAGACTTGGTTCTTAACCAAAAAATATAGAATCACTTTATGGAAGAATGTGAAGTATAATTTTGCACAAAAGCTATTCTGGCAAAACAAGTAGTAGTTGATAGCTACAACATTTGGAAGCCTCTGCCATACGCTCAAATATAAATTTAGATAAGAAAAGTGGATGGGGAAAAAACAGAGCCAGGAAAGTAAACAGTGTGTGTAGCAGAAAACAGTTGCATTTATAGTACTATTCAGCTTCTGGAGAGAAGCCAGAGACCTTCCCATGAAATCCTTCTGTGCTTTTAACACTGTTGCAAAGCTCCAGGGACTTCTAATTGTATAAACAGTTATGGGAAAATGAGATTAACTGTGACATCTATGTCCAGCCAGTGCTAAAAGTGATGATTGCATCTCAGCATCAGTCACTTTAGAATATGAACTTTCTATGCATTTACCAAAATTGTCTCAAATTCAACCAGCTAGGAGTTTCTTTTCAGTCTGATTATACAGTCAGCATCCCAAAGCTAAAGCATGTACAGTAGATCTTATTCCTCTGAAATACAGCTAGATGTTTGGTTGTCTTTTGATTTTAAATAATGCAGCTCGTCCAATATTTTTATTATGATAAAATTCTAGTGCTTTAAAAATCTGCCCTCCACACAAGCCTAAGCATAGATATTTTAAATTTACTTACTGTACATCTTCATATTTTGTTAAGGCATGAACAATGGCATATGAATGGGAACAGCTTCCGGAAAAGCATATCTTTTTGACAAAGGCCAGTCCAAGCACATCACATCAAAGGACTAACCTGAAGCCAGAAATGACAGTGTTGTGACCCAAGAGGTTTTAACAAAAATAGTTGAAACAAAATGGATGTTTTTCTCTTTTTCTTCCTTTTTTTTTTATTTTAAATTTAAATTATATTACTCTTAATGTCTGTTTAAAGCACCGGTTGCAGTTTTGCGCTTACCACCTCTTCTGAGCGACTTTGGATAACTCATCTGCTTCTTTTTTTCTGAATTTTCAGCATATGAAACTTTAAAAGGTTTTTGTTTCCTTTTTTTTTCTTTTTTTTCCTTTTTTTTTTTAATGGCTGCTGCAAAATTAAAAAGATCCAGAAGTGGTCAGGGGCCTGGTCTAATGCACTTTCAAAAGTCCATTATAAAGATGAATATAAATGCGTATGATACGTTTTTCCGTAGTCCCACAAACCACGCTTAGCTATAAGAAACATATTGTGCATAGTTATTTTTTTTCTTCAGAGTGATATGTTTACTAGATCTACATTCTCAGTTTACCAGAGCACGGGAATGTCTACTTTACTAAAGCCAGGATCCTTTCGCAGTTCCCAGTAGGTTTCATTGGTAACCCAGGCTTCTCTTTGATTAGCATCGATAACTTTTCTGTAGAAAGGAAAAAAAAAAAACGAAGGAGAGATACAGAGAGGGAATAAAGTTTTGACCATAGATCTCTACTCTTATGCAATGTAAAATCAAATTCCATACCTCTCTGATCTAACCAATATTAAATACAATTTCATGTTTCTGAAGAACACAAGAACAGTGTCAGGGATTTAAAAACAAAAATCAACTTTTACCTATATCAAAAGTGGAAGATAGAGAAAACAGCCTGCAAACAGACTGCAAATCTGTTGTCTGATATGTGTGAACAGGTCTTGGAGTCATATAAAAGCTCTTTGGCCATTACAGATTTTGATTACATGCAAGGGATCACCCAATAGGTGTAGCTCGCAGAATGTAAACCTTTTACCATTTATGGTTTTTTATCTCCCCTGTATTGTGCTCACATTACACTACCACTGCATCAAGCACATTCAGTCTTTTCGCTTTTGATTCCCTATGCTAAATATCAAGCTATTTGGTATGACTACCTGACTACCCCTTGTTTCAGAAGAATGCTTAATGAAAAACCAACCAACGAAAAACCGTTCCCTCAAAAATAAATAAATTTTAAGTGTATACATATACATTTATAGATACATTTTAGATATTACTTGGTGTATGCAATGACTTAAAAAAATAACCTAGTTAAATCTCATATTTCAATATTATACTTCTATTCCACTTAAAAGTTCAAAAACATTGGCCAAGGGGTTCATTATGCTTGTTGCCCATTGTGAGAAAGTGATCTTTCAATTACAAAGCTTTAAACTATGTAAAAAAAGCTTCAGGCAGAGATCAGGTGCCTAATTATGTTTCTTGAAACTGCAACTTCCCAAGCTTTCATGATTAACAGACAAGTTGGTGATAACTCTTGTAGTACTTTGTCAGGTTACACTAGAGAAAACAGAGACTTATCACTCAAGTAAATAGACTTACTTAAAAAATTTGGGTACATATTCAATGCCGTTTTCTTCCATGTACCGCCTCCGAGCTCTCTGAAGTTCCTCTATTCTTTGTTTCTCAGATGCTGCTGCTTCTATATTTCCTTCCTCCAGAAGCCTGTAGGAATAACAGCAGGCCCTATAGCAATCATGCAGTGTCTACTACACGGGATTTTTTAGCCCCAATCATCACAAAAGGCAAGCAGAAGCCAAGTCTGCTGTCTGTGTTGAACGTACTTTCAGATCTAGTCTGAGGATGTGACTCCGCAGCTACACGTGCCTGACCTACAGCCTAAGGCATGCACTTCCTTCAGTAACTTCAGCATATCACAAATGCTGAAGTACTATGAACTGAGAATTTGGAAGGAATTAGTGTTGCTTTCATTCACAGCAGGAAGGCATGACATTCAGAGCCTGTCTTTCAGTTTGTTAGGAGGAATCTGCCCCAAGATTGCACTGTAGCTTTACTATAGAAGCAGTTTTGTACTTTAAGTCAAATGGGTAAAGCAGAAATTCGATTGCAATACTATCTTCTCTACTAGTAGACTTCTTCAAAGCTTAATTCAGACTGAAGTGAAGACAAAGACAAAATTCAAGACTCAGTCAAACCCAGCCCTAAGCCCACCAAATATTAAGTGTATAAATAAGCATTCTTGCCTTTGATCTGGCCTGAAGCGTGCATCTGTTGCAGGAAGAAGATCTTTCAATAAAGGATCTAATTCATTTAGCTCAATAGCAAACCTTGTGAAGCCATAATAACGTTCATAATTAGTTGGCATCGAGCCTGTATGCATATAAGAGAAAGAAAAAAGCTTTTTAAGCTATTACTCTAAATATGCAAGAGATTCCTTTATTTATTAAATTTTAACAAAAAAAATATATTTTACAATTAAAAAGCATCAAAACTAGGTGGAAAAAACCTCACTAAATATTAATTTCAGCTGCTTATCTGCAGAGGTTGTAATTACATGCTAATAGACTCAAAACTTTTATGATCATCACTCCTTTTAAATAACAATTAATGTTTTCAAGATTTTCAAGTTAAAAACAATTTGCTCTTCCCCAGAAAGTGGGCTTAACAAATATCTGTCTAAAACCTGACCTTAACTGATCTTTAGAGGTAATTTTGGAACTAACTGCTCATTCCCAGACTGATTCCACTGTCCAACACCTTACTGCACTATCAGCACTCAGAGTAGACATTTCAGAGAGCAGGGTGCAAAGTAGGGCTCAAAATACTATAGATACAGAGCAGGATTCAAAATACTAAGAATATTCCTGGATAATGCATGTCTGAAAGATACATGCATGTATAAAAGATAGAGATGCAAAGGATGATTCATTCAACCTCCAGGCCTCTAAGCAAGCAGTAAGGAAGTTGAAATTAGATCCTAAAATCATAGGCGCTCACCGTCTCTGACGACCAATTCTTTAGGCTAATGAAGGATTAAGACAACAAACTCAATAAACTCGTATTTGCTGATTCCAAGTAAGTTACCCCACTCTCTGTGAGAAGGCAGACAAGCCAGCCCAGATACCCAGGGTTTTTTTTACTTAATTTTATTCTTATGTTGACCCTAAGAATCCAGTCTGACCTGGAGTCAGACAGTGATGTACAAGATTATGCCCTGTAAGAACACTTTCATTTTAACATTATTTTAAAGTTACGTAAGTTCTTGTTTATTTGTCTAGCCAGGAATTTTAATTTCTCTAGTGGTATTTTGTGTACTTAAAGTGAAGACTAAAACAGTTTTACATAGTCTAGGTTTACCCTATAACAACTGCTGGAGTTTATCATGAGCTTCTTACCTGGCCTCCATATGCATTTGGCTGAAGGTGCAACTCCACAATAAAGACCTTCATGCCACTTTCCAAAAAGACGATGAACCACTTTCCCTTCTTGATCTATCACAACACCCTGGACCTCATTTACATTTGAATTCCAGTAGTTCACCTGCAAGTTTAAGAAAAGTTTCACTCTGCCCATTGTACCAATACACATACTGCATGAATCTTGCTATGTGGAATCCACTGCCCAAATTTTGCATTGGAACAGCTCGCTGGGAACCAAGACCACCAAAATGCGAAACTCAGATGATCTGAATATTAATTGACTTAATATATGAGAAACCCTGAAAAATTTTTTGTGTGGTTTTGGCATAAATATATTTAAATTATCTGCATATCTGGGAACTACACTGTCACTCATTAACCCAAATCCCACACAATTCTGCGAAAATGACACTTTGTCAGTCATAGCCAGCTAACTCTCCTCCTCCTATATGAAGAAATATCCGTACCTGTAAGGAAATCCTCTGATGGGTGTCGCGCACTACTGCTTGCAGCAAGGAAGACATTCATTCAATATTATTTGTTATTTGTTTCTTTCTATTTCTCTTCTCTGTTTTGCTTTCCTTAGACACATTTATTTCTTACACCTTCATCTAAAAGCCAGTTGCCCCTTCCCAGAACATCAATCATAACACAGATTTCAGATTTATGGTAATACCCCATTGCTAACACTGCAATGGTATCAACGTCTTTTGTTGCAATATGAAGACAAACTTATTTTTAGGGAAAATAACTGATAGTAATAAATCATAACATACCTACACTGAGTTCTATTTTTATATATGATTCTTGCCTGGATATTAAAATACTATGAATCAAAGCAGCATTATTTAATCTAAAGAGATAAAATATTGACCAACAAATTTTAGTAAAGGCAGAAGTAAAATGGCACAGTAGCATACACTGACTTTGTCTTTTCATTGTGGTAATATAAAAAAAGAAATGACATTTGATTTTTAATCTAAACCCAGGAACAGTATAGCACACAACTATACATCAATGGAACACACTTGATATCAACTGTTCTGTGGAATAAAATCACACCATTTGACATACCATTCTTATTTGACAATTTACATAGTTATGATAAGATAAAATGTGGAATGTGGATTTCAGGAATACTGGGGAAATGAAGAATTGATGTATGCTTAAATTATGCAATTATATAAATACAGGATATGTATTAGGATCCATATGTTACCTTGACAAATGTGAGTTTACAAATACAAATACTGCTTTTTGTGTTTCTGATAGTTATCTCTCCATAGTGTTCTATCCATCTCCTTCCACTAAGAATATTATGTATGCAAGTAGTGACTTTGTTCCAGACATAGTAGTCTCCGTACCTAAGAACAGATTAAAAACTAGTTGGTAACATCTATTAATCATGATCTTTACTGACAAAAAAGTAAAACATTGCTCCATTATTGTAAATACAAGACCATGTTTGCTCATAAACGTCTGCATAGCTTACAGTAATGAAGTACTGCTTCTGGGTACATTATTAATCCTCCTTGGAGAAGCTCACCTAAGCTCCAGAGCAGAGAATTGCAGAATGGTGCTATGAACCACAAATCAAGACATTATGAATCACTGAAGCCCTGCATGGAATAGTCACTGTCCTCACAGTAAGGTGCTTTGGCCACAATTCCTATAGGGGCAGGATGGTGTCTCACAGATCAACACAAGGCTGAATTGAGGTTATAAGCAGACAATATAAATAAATCACAAACAGAACAAAATAAATATGAAAAGAAGATCAAGGAAATGAAGCAGGAAGTCAGGAGCACATTGGCGCATCATCCCTCTCCCTCTGTAACAACTATCCAGAGCCAGAGGATCTCTAATGTCAAAAAAGAATAAAGTGAGGGTATTATATTGTGCAAAGCACATTCTCTGTCAGAGCTTCAGAGTCTTACCTGTGATGAAACTACTACTTCTCACTACTCTGCCAGCATCTGAAGAACACCCGTTAGTTTATCTACATTTTGAAAAAAGAACTTATATGGTCACTAGCAGTTGTTCTGAGGGAACACTTAGCAACACAGAGCTTTAGGACAGTCCTAGTTGCTGACAGTCCTATCTGGCAGCCTTGTTCTGAACAGCTGATCACTACTGCATGTCTAAAACATGGGTTCTCTCTCCTGAAACATTTCTATCCCACTCTCTCCATCACCTTCTAGAGAGTCTGCATATTTTTCCTGCAAAAAAATGAAATAGATCTTCAGGCTCAAAAATGCTTCAGTAACCCCACCTGAACACTAAGGAGACATTTGAGTCAGGCACTAACCCTCACCAGTACAGTTCATGTGATGACTACACATATTTTCCCCCATATTAACAAGGCAGCACAGATTAGGTTACAGCAAAGACTGAAAACAAAAGGAGAGAGGACAGTAGCTTACTTTGGAAGAGTCACATTCAAGGTTCCAACTGGCAGAATTTCCATTGATTTCCCCCAGAATTTGTTTTTCCACCTGATATCTGAACGTAATAATGCAACATTAAAAAAACTTAAATGACCAAAGTCTCCTCCTTGAAGTGATCTGTGTGGCACAACAGATGATCTGTGCTAGACCACCCGGTTCAAAACAGGACAGTAGGTGGTATCAATTTGCCATGATAATACCAAAAAAAAAAAAAAAAAACCAAACTAGAAAATTACAGTAGGTCAGGAAAACTAAAGATAAGTTTAATTTTCTTCTAGGAATTGTGTCTGCGCTACATTATTGTCAAATCCCTCATGAAAACATTCAATACAAATTAAAGGCATGTATCAATAGATACAAGGAAAAAAGAGTTATTTTTTTAAATGTGTAAAAAGAACTGCTTGCATTTGTAAGAAATAGTAATTGGTAAATTGGTAAAAAACTTTTAAACAGAAAAGTAAAAACAGACTGCAAGTGACAAGGGAAGTTGTAACACATCTCCTCACTCTTAAGAATAAGAATTTGGAGTGAAATCAGAGCATCAGTTTACAATTTGATACTTCAAAAATAAGCAGAGAAATTCTGAGTAAGTTCCAAATGCAAATCTTACTTGTACAGACAATGTTTTTACTCGACAATCAAACAGAAGTTATGCTTTTAAATTAAAAATTATACCTTGCCAAAACACAAAGTTCTTTGATTCACAGTGACAGGCCGAAATTGGAGGATGGTGGCTAACCTGGAAAACAGTTTGGCTGAGTTAAAACCCCTTCATTTTCATTCCTAAAACAGTACAATTGTTTTTGAAATATGAAAATACTAAATAGCCCCCACTCTTCATTAGCCTATGTGGCTATGAAAACAGATACAACTTAAATATTCGTACTTAAAACAGTTCCTTATGATTACTATAAAAATGTGTACCTTCTAGCATTTAATGAAGCTCACTCATACCAACAGTATTTACTACTACAAAAGCAAACCATTCCAACTAGAAATAAAAAATTATATTATTCTTTAAAAATTAAGAAACCAAAATGTAAATCTAAATGGGAGTGTCTATCTAGAAAAAAGTTTTACCTGCTCTGAGAAAAACCTAAATCCTTTGTCTTCTCTAATACATTCGTAAGTTTCTCCAAGCACAGGGTTAAATGGCTTGCTTCCTGCTCTAAAGTAGGTAGAGGCATAGCCTGATGCTGCAAAAGCAGCTATGAGAACCTGTGAAAATACAGACAAGAACATGAGAGTAGGCAGAGATTCTTGTGTATATATGCCATGACTATGTGGTATCACACAACTCACACAACCCAGACTGAAACCTGGATTAATGAAGCACGTCTGAGAATGAAGCGACTCATCTTAGCCAAAACCAGCAGAAATTCTATTCCTTTGGTTGACATAATTTCTTTTTATTCATGGCCTCATTCAGTCTTTGAACAGTCCCTTAAAACTACAGTTTGTACATGACACTGGTTTTCTATCTTTGACCAGGTCTGTTGTCAGTGAACAGGGAGAGCAAAAGAGAACCCTGTCTACACTTCCATTTAACAGCTACCTTTTAAATACAGACAGAAGAAGTGCTACACTGAATTTATTACCATGCGCTCATAAGGATCATCTGTTTCAGCAGCCTTGTCCAAGAGTTCACTGTATTCCAGCTCTTCACAAAGATGTTGCAAGGTATTCAGAGGTTCATTTAGCTCAACTGGCATGGATACTTTGGAAAGATCTTTGCCAATGTTATTTCTCAAAATATTCCACAGATTGATGTTACTGGTGTCAGGGCTGGGAGCTGGGAGACAAGTTCTCCGCCCATTTCTGAAAGCGCCTCCTGTTAGCTCACCATTAAGAACTGGGAAGGGAAAAAAAATATTATCTTAAGAAAGAACAAGATTAAGAAAAATAGACTTCTCCATCAAACCAATTCATTGCCACAACAAGCAAGCCCAGCTTCACTGGTTTCAGCTGAGTTGGTCTTGTACAGACATGCAGTAATTCTGGTACATGAACACAACCAATGTAATTTCCCAAAGTTTGAAACATGGTATACTTTGCCGAGAAATGTTGTCTGCAACACTGGTGTTGTCCTCAGATATATTATCACTCACATCACTGATATAAGATTCATCATCAGAAGCCTAAAACATAAATAAAATACTGATCAACTCAAATGCATATAAAATATACTGCCAAATTAGACGAAAATAGTAAACTGAAACACAAATATTCAAAAAAATAATCTCTATCCAATTAGGGCTTTTAACTAAATTAGTTGGATGTTTCAATTAGCCCATACTACCAATGCACCAAAGGGGTCAAAACAAATGCTACATTCTCCTCATGTTTCTGAATTTCTTGCTTTGAAGCCAAATACAGACATTAAATTTGCAAAAGGCAGATTAAAGTGAGATCAGAGATGAACAAAACATTGACAACATAATTTGCTAGGGATGGAAGGTGAGAAGACTTAGTCAGATTTGTGCTCTTTATAAAGAAGCAAACAGTAAAACTGTTTCAGAAATAATTATATAAATATCAACCTATAATTTTGCAAAACAAGAATCGCATCAGTGTTTGGACTGGTTTTAAGAATTGTTTTAAACAATTTTTTTTCCAGAAATACTACTTTTTTGTCTATTTCTCTCCTTACAGAGAATAACCTTATGTATATAGTAGAAGATTGTTGTTTGTGTGTTTTTTTTAAGAATATTTTAGAATCTAAATTTAGTTGACTGCATAGTCAGACATAACTGTTCCTGGCACTGAATATAAGCTACTGATACAAATAACTTTCAACTCAGTTTTACACTTCAGGGAACATCTGCACCTCTTCACATGGTAGTCTCATGTTTATTTATCTACATCTTCTAAGTAGCATTATATTAAAAAAAAATTCACTAGTGGTAGCAATACCTCAATCTGTCCAACAGCAAAGCTGCAGTGTGCTGTCATAGCCTACCTCATTTTCTGACGAGCTGGCAGATAGAAGCACTTCCTGTGCATCAAAGAACTCTGAAACAGATTCAGACATAGAGAGCCTGCTTTCATTAGAAACTTGCTGAGACAGTGGCAAACTGACGTGAATTTGTTCACCTGTCTGAAAATAAAGCACAAAAAAGTAAAAGTATTATTTCTAATAGAAAAGAAATATGCATAGAAGGTGTAAATCACCTGACTAATTTTCCTATGCCAAATATAAGCACAGAGAGTAAAGACAGCATTTTAGTAGGACTGTGTGTGTACCTAACAGATAAGACTGAGAATTAAAAAATGAAGTGCATTCCAAACAGAGAGACCAATGTCCTCATTTGAGGCCTGCTCAGCATCTACTTCTAAGTTTTAGTAGCATGACATTGCAGATTTAATTCTCTATCCAAAGGAATGATTTTGTGGACAAGACCTGGATTTGTCAGACAAGTTCAAACATGAAATTCAGATGAGGGGACACCTGGTCATAACAAATTACATCACTGGGACCTAGCCTCGATACAACCAAAATTTTAATATAAAGCTTTATAAGGTCAGGGAGTTATAAGTATCTTTTCAAATAAATGACCTGGTGAACCAGTTTAGTAACAATGTTTGTAATGTCTGAATATTTAGGAGGATGGATATAATATATATTTGTGGGCTTTTATTCCATGTTTGTACTCCAAATCTCATCTGAATTATGCCATTAACACTGACTCAATACTACTAAAGGGAACAAAGTTTCTGTGGCTATCACATTTAGGAAAATTAAGATTCTCTCCCTGTACCATTTTACCAAAGGACCTGTTGCTGTGGAGGGAAATAGGCTTAATCCCTTAATTTATATAGCACGTTGCTTTGGGGAGATAATACAGATGAAACTACTGAAGCCCTTCTAAGCACAGTTAACTCTTCAGATTGCAACTCGATCCCCATTAATCTTATTCCAGATATCCTGCATATGGTTTTGTTGACATCTTAGTCCTGTAGCTTTATTCCATACAGTTACTTCAAAATGCACAAAGAAAAAAATCACAAAAACCCCCATAAACAAACCAAGAGGTCAAAATCCATTTCTTTTTCATTGGGACTTACAAGCTTGTAGATGGTTTGTGATGCTGGATGAATTATAATGAAAATAGAAGTAATTTCATTGTAATCTTTACAGGAAGTGACTAAAATTTTGAAGTTTTGTGTAAACTAGAGGGAGTTGGACAAATACATATACCCCTACCTAAAAAAGATGCTTCCATTAGAATTGTCTACACACTGCAAGAGTATACATACATAATCAAAAGAAGAACTGAATGAGAGATCTGGAAACCTCTTTGAAAGGCTCCTTCAGCAAGGAACACTTCTACCAAGATAACAGTGTACATATGAAAAAGAAACAGCTAACCAAGAAAAAGTACAGAACAGAGGAGATGGCCATTGCCTAGAATTTCACTGCAGATTGCTGTGCTGTGGCACCACTTCACTTCTGTCTTCTGTTGCCTGTCTCCAGCATGCTGGATTCTTGGAAAAATTGTTTGGACGCTTTCAAAAAGCAAATTAACAAAAGTAATTTGAAACATATTTTAACCTTTCTTTCTTGTTGGAAGAAATAACTAGGAGACAAGAGTACATTAATTGAAATGGCATATGCATAGAAAAAAAATAGTAGAAATGACAAATCAAAAACATTTTGGTAAAATCAAGCAGAATGGTTGTCAAAGTGACCATATTAATTGTAATATATTACAGCTCATAAATTCAGATTTGTCATGAGGGAAGCTTGCTATTATTAATACAAATGTTCGTTAATCTGTTGAGCAAAACAAGAAAGACTAGACGTTGCAAATATATCAGTGCAGTGCTTGGTTCATAGACTGAACCTTTTGATTTTAGCAGTACCACTCAAGATACTTACTAGATGTCAGGCCCTTTAAGGACTTGCAAAATAAGGCCATTAAATACTACACTGTTCTGTTGATTTGGCAAGAAACTAAAATACAGAACTGGTTAGCTACTGTGTGTTACATTCAAATACAGTAAAACCTCACTAATTCCCACAGCCAACAATTAATATTCCAAAACTGGAGTCCTTCTCTGTTCCTCCAAAGAGACTGAGCTGAGTTCTTTCATGAGGTCTGAGATGTGCAAAACAAAAGACAGAAGTTTTATTTTATGTAAGGAAATATAACCTGATGTCTTCTACGAATGAACACTTGCAAATCTGAAAAATTCTATAATTTGTTGTGTGTGTTTAAGCTATCAGTGAGAATTAGCAAGGTTTGTTTGTACTCTAAATCCATTAAAGGCCAAAGTCTTACCTCATCAGGACTAGGGATAATATTTACACTGACAACCTGATCACAAATAACAGATTCTGAATGTATTCTGTTCAAGCGACTCCTTAGTTCAGCATTCTGGTTGAGAGCCTTAAAATAAAAATTGCACATTTCATTTAAAATTAAAATGTAGGCATTAAAGAGAAAAAAAAAGAAAAAAAAAATTCTTCTTCTCAGCAATTTTCTAAGAAATTACAGAACCTCCTTTCTTCCATTTATAGAGAGATACCTATTTTGAGATCCTCTCTAACATAATTTAATCTTTGGTTACTTTGCCTTCAGTGATTTTCAGGAAACAGGGGGAACAGATGTTCTCCCACAATGTAACACTGGCATTCCACCCTAATTCTTTAGATAGCTCTTGGGCAGGTGTACTAGTGGGTTATGTACTTATGGAAATGGGGAGTGAATACAGCAAGAAAGAGCGAAATTGCAGAACAACCAACAGGAACTACCCACAAAAGGCCCAAAGAGGCAACTCTGGGCTTACAACCATACAGCCCCTTCCAAATCAAGGTTGTCAGCACTTAAGAGTCTGAAAACAGAAATTGCTTCATTCATTCAAAATCAACACGATTGCTAGTGTCATTGTCTGCCTGTCCAGATCAATTTTATAGATTTGTTTTTGCACGCTCATTTCAAGCTACTGATCCATTACAGGGTCACAAATACCAACCGAATTTGGCTGATGTCTGATATCTGCTGATTTTTCTTGTATTTTAAAGTCCAATCTAGGTTATAAATTTGGGTGCATATATACATGTGTTATTTGGAAAGATTCACATGCAAAAGTCTGAAATCCAGGAAAAGTATAATATGCTAAATTCTAGAACATGAACTGGCTTAACCTTAATATACTGCCAGCACTGAGGACTATAGAAAAGAACAACAGAAAGACATGCAGTTTTAGTAGAGAAAGACTGTTACAATGAAGTAAGAATCTTGTTCTGTCTTCCCCTAGTGCAAACTCAGGAAGAGACTGCATCAATGTACTGGGACAAAGCAGGACCAAAGTAAAACAGGCAGCTTTAAACTGTCACTAAACAGTTTAAATTATCCAATTTTGCTTTGTTCTGAAATGGTCTGGGCATGCTCATAGTTGCCATCCACCAGGAAGGGAAGGTGATGACTAACAGCAGCCTGGCAGTAGCTTCTTAAACTGCTCAAACCTGGTCATGAGACTGGACAATCCAAGTCACAGTCAATTTTCCATTTATTCTCCATTAAGGCTATGAACTAGTGTGTGACAGCAACTTTTAAATTAAAACTGCAGGCCAGGATCTAGAAGAAAACCTGTTTCCCTTTTTTTAATAGAAATTGCTAATAAATCCCCACAGGTCTTAGTTAATTTGTATCAATAACCAGAAATGGCTACCCTTACCTCCTTAACCTTTTTTTATTATAACACACAGTAATCAATCTGCATAACACGATATGCATCTGTATCTATAGAAAAGTTTGTCTTTAAACCTCTGCTCATATTTCTTGCAGATGCAGTCCTCCACAGAGATCCAGCAAAAGCTTTTATGTTTCACTGACAATGGATTAAAAAATTTGAGCTATTTTGTAACCAGACTTGTTGCTTTACTTCTTCTCCCCCACTAAAGCAAATTGTAATTTTTCATTTAGCTTAAGTGGGAGAGATGCTGGACAGTAGGATGGATGTATCTGGAAATCCAATTTACCCATGATTATCTTGTAACCCAAGATTCCTTGTGCAGTTAGAGACATGGACATATAAAACAAATCTGACAACGTACAGTCAAAATTTAAAACTTAATTATGAAAACAAGAATATCTCCTTGGCTGTGCTGGATATAGCTCCAGGAAAGACATCTAGCATTTGTATAAAAACATTTAGTGCTTTTTCTTTACTTTGGAAAACCATAACAGATACCTGCTTACACAAACACATTATATCCTTTACATTCACATGCACTGAGGTTAGAGCGATGTCATACAGAGTACATCATAGTTCTAGTCAGGAATTTGGCTTTTTCTTAGCTTCTTTTACCTCAGGAAATGGCCAAAATACAAAAGAAGTAGTGCATCTGGCAAGCTAGATGTGCTCAGAATGAAATTACGAACATACCTGAGAGAGGGACTGTCTGAGGTGTGCTATTTGAGCATTGTGGCCTGTAAGATCCTGCTCTGAAACAATCTGCTTAAGCTTCTCCTTCTCTATAGCTATGCTGTTAAAGGCAGACTTCAAAAGAGAATGCACTAAGCAAAAAGAAAAAAATAAAACAAGTGTTTTCTCAGCTGCAGAAATCACATGGGCATCTATTACAATATTTCAGCAATAAAGACAGTGAGTGAGACTTGCATCCCACAATTATTGACATTTGAAACAAGGATCTGAACTTCAAGTAATCCATGCCAAATTAAGTACAAACACTTACAGCTTGCGATTGTAATGTGCAGACTGTCTGTTCACACATAAGTCATCTGGGAATATTCTTGGTACTGAACATATGGAAAGTGCATATTTGGGAAAACTATATCCAATGTGTGTTCTTTTCTTTCTGTTTTTTATTTGTACTTTTTAGAATAACACAAAAATCAGTTCTGCTAAGATTTAATATTGCACTAACAAAGAGGATTACTTGGTCTTTAAACAGGTTTTAAACTTTTTTAAGCTCAGTCACATTTTTTCTATGTTTGTTATATAACAGCAAACTGATAATAAATCCTTTTAAAAATAGTATTTTTCAGTTTGTAGGAGCATTCATTTGCTGACAATAAAATAGCATTTCTAAATGCTATATTCCATTTTACATTGTTTCCACTGACATAGAAAACATTGCACAAAAATGAACTGCACAGTATTATGTGCAGTAGTGACATTCTGATTCATCTTTGGGGAGAAAAAAAGCATCTTTTTGAAAGAAAATGGTTGCAAATTCAATCACATATTTACAGGATGCAGAAAGTAGTTCAAAAGACTTGTAAAACAATCTCACATCAGATAGAGAGTTTACCTATCTCTATATTTATGACATTCATGGAATATATAACACATTGCCTCTATGTAAGCCACCTGACCAGCTAAAAATTCTTATATATTATCATCTAATGCAGATGAATGCCCTGGTCATAACTAAGTGAAGGCAATAAAGAAACACAACAGAGAGGTACATTACAGGAAAGGCTTGACGTTTTCAGTTACCTTTTTGTGCCATCAAGCAGAATTCTTCTTGAAGCTTCATGTACTCAGTAGAGCACTCCAGAGGGTCTGTTACATGGCTTGGGGGAGCCTGAAATTCAATGTCTGCACAAAGGTTGGGATTGGACGAATGCAATCGAACGGGTGACATTGTAGCACTGAAAGGAACCTACAGCAAGAAGCAGTGAAGAAATATTGTACAAAGTGTAACCAAACTTTTGACTCTGTTGAAGCAAAATATAAATTCCTTCTGAAAAGACTTAGTTCAAAATGCAAAAAACATGGTGAGAGTGAACACGTAACTTCTTACTCTCCTAAATCTCAACACAGTTGATGCAGAATTCTCTTGAAGTTTTTCACTGAAACAGACAAAAGGCAACCTAAATACAACGCTAACAGCTAATGATGGAGCATTTAAATTCCGCTGTTTACAAAAATGGACAATTTCGTAACGCTTAAAAGATTACTGGAAAATTGAACCACGAGACATGCTCCTTTATATTTGAACATTTGGGAGTACATGTAGATGACTGTTTTACAATACCAACATTTGAAGTATGCAAGTTCCTCCATAGACCTAAAACCAGGATATAACATTATCATATATATCACTGATGTTTTTCAAAACTACTGGTAAACCCTTAGCTGAAAATCATTATACTGGTAACTATGAAGAGGGAAAAAGCATATAGTCTATTTTCTTTCAAACCAAACAAATAAATAACGACAACAAAAAATAAAATAAAAAATCCACCTGATTTTCATTTAAAGTACACAAACCATAAATAAATGCAGAGCGATACAGTTTAGTAAGATGGAACAAAAGAATTTAGTTTATTATCAATTCCACTTCTCTTTCTTCTATACTTTTCAGATATGGTAATAAAACAAGAATTTCTAAGTTACATGTCCATGTATCGTGTATTGAGCAGCTACCTGTATACTACATATGCAGGATATGGCTACCACTGTTATATATGTGATGTGTGTGTGAGTGTATGTTGTATTTTATTTTTATGTTACCATTAACACACATTTCTATGAAAATCAGGCCAAGAACCCAATTTTCAAATGTAAATGCAAAGGAAGGGCACGCAGAACTAAATTCTGTTACTTAAACATTAAGCACTGTTTAACACAGTAAGCACTGTTTAACACATCAAATCTAATTCATTTCATCATATTGATCAAATGTGTAAATCAAGAATTTTCACACTGCAGCCCAATGTTATTATTCAAATATGAACAATGGGGCCAAAATATAAAATGTCTCTTCCAAGGCATGATAAAGAGCAGCAGACAACATAAAAAGTCATATTACTAAGAATTTTTATCAACAGATTAATTCTGTACTGCCATCAGTGGTTGAACTTGGTACCTTGTTATTCAATTAGATTGGGGAATGGTTTTATCAATCCCTTCCTGTAAAAGCTGACATCAATATATGTTTTAGATTTCTGACTCTCCAATGAAACCCTCAAACTCCTATGGGCTCTATTCATCATGACACTCCAGAGCATATTCTGTGAAATACCATTTTCCACTCTGTTCTTCCTCAATTTCCAGGTATATATAGCACATAAAACATTAGCTTTGTGGCACCTATCCAATATAAGATTTATTCCTTCTCTCATGTATTTTGAGTTCTGGTTATATCAACAAAGTAGGTAGTTTTTACTGGACCTCATTTTAGCCTCATACCAAGAAGATTTAATTAACAGGAGATGTAGAATAAATTCCTTCCATTTTTACTGGATATTTAACCCATTATCTTCTTTGCAAGCACCAGACTGCCTCCTTCAAGAGCCCACCAAAACTAGGTTAATAGACTACTGTGGCTAAATGTAGGTTAATTTCAAATTTCCTTTAAAAAAAATCTTTCCTCTTCTTAAATCAGAGAGTGTGTTTCCAGAACCTTCTGATGGGGAGCACTGCAAAGGTTCAACTGCTCTAAGTGGCTCCAGGAGAGCAGAGTAGGTATCTACATGACACCTCTGTGTGTGGAGCATTACCAAACCCTCCAGAAGGCATGAACGAAGCTGACACCAGCTATAATGCAGGTGCTTGAGGGAGAGTCCCCACAGCCCCATGTGCCTGTGGGGATGGGTCAGGCTGGCCCAGACCCACACAGACTGGCAGAGCTGCAGGCAGGCTGCCTGCATGTGGTGGGGGGCTCTTTAGTCACTCTGCAATGAATCTGGCTGAACAAATCTGGTTTAGATTCATCATTTCTGCCTCATACCTCAGCTGGGCAGGCTGAAAAGCAGTCTTCCTGAAGTGAGGCTTACTGGAAAAAAAAATATTTTAATTTATGTCCTAGAAACAGAATTTGCATATTCTACAAGTACTGTCACACCACTTGCAAGAAATATACATTCACATGACAGAGATAAGTATCTGCCTTGCTGATGGCTTTAAATACAAGCACCAAAAATAATGAACTATTGATTGACATGAACTCTCCTCATATGCATCTTTTGGAAAAGTTTTGAAGCTACTTTCTATAGAAGATTAAAAAACCCACATTAAACAAAAATTTTTATTCTTTTGCATAGGCAAGAGTCCAAAAAACACTGCCAACATTATTTCTTTTACCCTTTTAAAAACTGACGTGTTTTCTCTCTATATTAATGGTGATTTGATTCTGACTTTATAACCCATTTACATTTTGGTTGTTCTTTATTGTTGTTGTTTTGAAAGTTTTTTAAAAAATATTTACCCTCTTAATGCATCACTCTTGTTTCCTTCATATACACCCTTCCAGGCATGACCTCAGATGAACCTTGTCCTAACTTCCTGCTTTATGCCAGAGGCATAATACCCACTCATCCATCACCTTCTTCAGAATTACGTTTCCATGTGGGAACAGACTGTTCCTGGTGGAGTGGGTTGTACGGAAAATGTCCTCTTCCTGCTGTGCATTTAACTGATATAATTCTGTGTCCCTTGGTCTATGCACACAGCTTCATTGTCTGGGAGAGACAAGCACTTTGCTGCATCAGCCAGGAAGAACAGGCCATAGCCACAAACACTGTAACAGCTGCAGAGTCATTTTGGTGCCTTCAACTGGTCCTCACTTCAGCTGCAGGTAACAACTCAGCAATTCCCTCTACTCCTAATGCCTTCCAATCTGAGTCCAGTTGTATTTATCCACTGAAACACTCTTCAGGTAAGGAGTACAACCCCTACCAATGCTGTTTAACTATTGCTGAATCTGATGGTTAGAGCCTCCCACTGACTCAGCTGCTCAGCCAAGTAAATTGGGAATCAGGCTGATTTCTCTGGTAGGCAGGGAGACTGATGAAGTCAAAATAGCAATTGATTATTGCACAGAGCATTCAGCATCAACTGATTAGGGAGGAATAAACTTAGATGAGTTAATCTGGAAACTGGAGAAACACTGATTTCTCTCAGGCTTTATAGGAGGGTATAGCAGTAACTGAGTTTGCAGTTCAGGTAGCAGAAGCTCAAGATAGCTAAGGTGAGGCAGAAACTATGTCTGATCCAGGGAATTTTAGCTATGGCCTGGAACAGCTGACCCTTTAGCCTGGTGTACTTCAGCCTGGTGAAGATAGTCACTGCTTTGGCTAGATAAGGGATATGCACTCACTTCAATCTTTGGCTGCACAGAGTCTTCCCTATCTAGCAGTTGTACTGATCAGTTGATGGATTACTATTAATGTCTGTATTGTGCATTCCTAATGAATATTTTCTTGATAAAGCAACAGCTGAAGATATCCTTTGGATGCTAATTTGATTTCACAAACAGGAGTTCCCCCACCTAATTCCCAGCCCCTCTATTGATTTCATAGCTCCACATTTTCTGTCAAAGACCTGGAGAATTAGCAAAACTAAATACAGACACTGAAGTAGTAATATGACTTTTTGGGATTATGGAATGTAAACAGAAAGTGTCTCAAACAAAAAGGCTAACCTTACATTACTCATAAAATTAATAAAATTTTATAATTCCATGGTTGGTTGTAACAAATCTTAATTCTGCTGTCTTGCTATAGACTGTCACAACAATCTTTAGCAGAATTTGATTTTTTTTATAGTATTTTATAGTATACAGAACAGTATGTCAAAGACATGTTCAAATAGTGCAGGGCCTGAGTCTGTCACTTGCACTTGCATAAAGGAGGAGGGACATGTACCATGTAAACAAGTTCAGACCCACATTTATGGAAATAATTTCTGTTGGGCCTGACCACTCCTAAGGAACTCAGCTAAGAGTGGGTAGCACGGACGCCTCCAAAAAGTGCAAGAAACATTTTCATAAGCTTATTAGACAATCAAATTATACAGCTCCCCATCTTTAGAGCTATCCCTTGATTTTTAAATCCACTCACTGTTGTAGCCACTGCAGCTGCCAGTCTCTGCCGGCGTCGTGTTGAGCTGAACTGGCCCTTCGGTGCCGGCCCTTCCTGACAGTGAATGCAAGAAGAGAAGGAAGTAGAAAAAGAGAAGGGAAGGGGTGATGGGACACAGGAAGATGAAAGGTGATCAGAAAAGGGAGAGGGAGAATCTTTAAGTGGGTTTCAATTTTGTTAACTCTTATGGCCTACACACGTTGAGGACATATCACGTGATTTCACTTGTGTATGTCAGAGACATAAAAAGCTCAATACTTCACTAAAATTATCTGTGGATGAGTTGGACTGCAGTGCACTCAGACTACAAAAAAAAATCTATTAGCATTGCCATTCAGAGTCATGAGGCAATAATGGAATAAGAAAACAAAAAGGATGCTATGGCATGACAGAAAAAGAGACAAAACACAAACTTCTTCTGGGGGTCACTAGACCATCTAGAAGATGAATTCTGAAAGAGATCACTTTGCATTAGAGGAAGTGCATAAATTGTGGTTATCGAAGATGCATGCGTCTCAATGGTAGAACTTTTCAGTGTGTATGTTACACAGTGAGCTTGCTTACGTAAACATTCCTATCCATAGCTCCAGCATTTCCACATCCATCCTTGAGTCTACTGACTCATTTTCCCCACATTTCACTTTTTTGCGTTCTAGCTACTTTTCCCATACATTATTGAAGACTTGGCTTACAAAGCAATGCAAAAACTAAGATAAAGCAGCAGAAATGAAAACTAAGTATTCCCACAGCTACTTTGTTTTCTGTATGCCTAACCTGTGCCTCATCCTGCTTAATTTCTTAAGAAAATTCATCATGGTAAATTAAAGTCAAGCAAGTAATTTTCTAATGCAGAGAAGCTCCACACCCATCATAAAGTCATTCTATTTAACCTCTAGTCAAAATGTCATTATTTTGAAGGCATTTTAAGACTTTGGAAGACTAGAAAATACACCTTTCTGCTTTTAGAAAAAAATTCTCAACTCCTTTACCTTTTTATTCCTCTATATCTTCACCTATAGCCACTTCAGGATTTTTAGGTCTATATACACTTTTTCTGAAAGTAGCCTGGGCACCATACAAATAACAGTGGTATAGGTTGGATACATGGACACCATGCTAAAGAACAGGATATTGTATTTCAGTTACTAACTGAACTGTTTTGCTTCTCTAACATTCCATAGAGTTGTTTCATCTGAGAATGGCCTAACACTTCACCCTCTGATGATACTAGAAGCAATACTACTGACAAGTGGAAGAGCTGTCTAATGATCACAGTAAGAGAAGACTTCAGGTGCAGTATTCTATATAATTCTGACATTAAAAAAAACATGTACATAACCTCTGAAATACTACGTATAAACTTTACTAAGCAGAGAACACATTGTATACATAATGTAAAGCTCTTTGTGCTCTACAGAAACATGCCTATCATGTGAATAAGAGTTTAAAATAATATTCTTGTTTAAATAATAGGGACATATACATGTACAGAGAGAGAGATGCACTAATATATATACATAAAAGATTATGAATGTAAATATACCATTAAAATGGCAACAGTGAGCTTTACAGAACCACACGCTCTTCTTGACACAACAGAAAGTGAGGTCATAATCTGAGTTAATGGCCAGTCTTCGCGAGCGAAGATCCGGGGAAGGTCTTTCCACCTTCCAGCCTGCGCATTGGATTTTTTAGGTGAGACACAGTGTACGCGGAACTGAGCCCACCCTTTAATCCTAAGGTTCATCTGCTGGGGCCAAGCGAGCTTGGACGGTGGCAGCGAGGTCCTTAGGACGTAGGTGGGTTGCCTTTAAGGGCTAACGAGCCCCACCTGCCCGGGAGTGGCCCTGACCGGGAATCGAACCCGGGTCTCCGCGGTGATAGCGCGGCGCCCTTACCACTAGACCACCAGGGGCTGCCTAATCTGAGTTACAATATAAATAAATACTTATTTAATGAAAAAAGAAGTAAGCTACTTCCAGCTCTAAGCTGAAAGCAAGACGACTTTTCAGGTTACTCCATACTGTATAGCTCCCTACTATAAAAAAAACGTAAAATGAAAAATAAAATTAGTCTTGGAACTTCACAACTTTGAGCTTTTGAGGGAAACAAAACCAACACTCGTTTATTTTATTGATTTTCGGTAATGGTTTTTTTTCTTCCTTTGAATTTCTTTAAGCTGTCATGAGAATCGTAACTTAGTCTTTTACTCAAAGGGAAAGAAATGAAATTAAAAAACAAAACAAAAAAAAACCCACAAAAACAACAACAACAACAACAAAACCACAAAAAACCCCAAACCAAACCAAACCAAAACAAAAACACACCAAAATCCAGTTCTTGTACAAAAGTATCATTTGTAAAATGAATTAATATAGGTCAAATAACTTGTTGCAGGCCATTTTCATAAGATTTTAGATAGGCTTTTTTAAAACCAAAATAAACTTTCTTCATAAAAATAATTTTTCTTCAGAGAAGCAATTCATGTATTACGCTTCAGTAAAAGCCTGTATATCAAGCTGTTAATTCTAAACTATTTACTAAAAACAATTCTAAATCCCCAAACTTGCAAACATACATAGACATGCTATGCTCAATTTTACTTCAGGGAGTACCCCCACTCAAGTCACTGGGATTAGCTGTGTGAGCAAAATCTACTGCACACAGAACTGGTATATTTAATTGGTAATTATATATTTCTAAGAATCTAATTGAGCAGCTGCTCTTACAAGAAAAAATATTTTAAATACATAATACACCTAGCATTCATACTACAGAATGTGTTAGCAAGAATACAATGAAAGCTATCTTATTAAAAAATAATGGTAACAAGTACAATACAAAATCTGGATGGGAAAATTCTCTCCTTGCATCTTACACAGCGGATGCCAAGCCTGTATAAATTACTCCCTTGTTCCCCATTACTCACAAAGAACACATCTGTATATAAAGCTCCCTAATTTTTATGCTCCCCAGAAGGATGGCTCTCAACATCATACTATCTGAGGGTCTTTGGTGGTAGTTAACAACTGCTCATTCTAAATAAAAAAAAAAAAGTGCAAATACTACAAATGGAATTAGTAGTGCAACCAGCTTAAAATTAGTATGTTAGTATAAGCATTATTCCCTAAAACTAATGAGATGTATGGAGACATGGGGAAAGTAACAGGAGAACAGAAATTTTCCTAGTACCAAATGTCAACCACTTAATAGCAATTAATGTGTAAGTACCATGAAGAAATTATCACAAATTAGACAGAATGATTCTCACTAGTGGATATTCTGATAAACAGTTTATAGAAAGTGAAAGTAGTCTTGAAAAAATGACCTATGAGGGAGGCCAATGAAGGTAGAAGGAAATGGGATTAACTTAGAAGGCACTTAGGCATCAGAGGAAATCCACATTTTAGTGGAATGGCAACATAAACAAACTAGGAATAACAATGAATCAGAGTGAGGCCATCTTCCTACAGATCACAGTTTCAGACCATTCCTGAGACAAGACAGCCCTTGGAAGAATAAACAATGTGTTGAGCCCATTAAACTAGGCAAGATAATGGAGAAGCCATAAAGGATTCTTCATCTTTCATATAATTTAGAACAATTTTATTGTTTTTGTTTCACTACAAATTAATTTATAAGTCAATCAACAATAACTTAATGCTTTGCTCTAAAAAGATAAACTTCCAGTATTAATAAATTTTCAGCATAAATCTTGCCAGGAACTCATGTTGACCCAAGTTAGGTAGAGTTCATTATCAGTACAGAAGGGACACACCCACGTCAAGCAGTGCTATGCAAACAAACTCTCTTACATGAACCTGTAAACCAACTGTATTCGAAAATTTCAGGAGCTGAGACACAATTCCTGCCAAAGCACAAACAGCAGTTTGAGAGTCAGGTGCCAATGACAGAAGGAAGTCCAGACCAGTGTTACTTTGGTAAGGTTTAGGCAACACAAGAACACCTTATTATTCACTATGACCCACCATAGATCATCATACATTGACAGCTTTCATCACTTTTGTGGATAGGACTTCTCTGAGACCACTGTGGCACGAAAGAACACGCAGTGATGACTCTGACTGTTTACAGGCACCAAGTGCCTGGTGTTATTCAGCAGCAGGGAAGAGCAGTGATCCTTCAATTGCAGGTAATATCATGTACATGACATCAATCACCAAAATTCCTTTGTTAATAAACCTTTTTAATCCTAAGAGATGCTTCCTTGTTCAATCTATTACGATTTGTCAAAGTATAATAGGTAGAAAGAAAAAATCCCCTACAAGAGCTGTAGTGAGAAAGCTGATGCAACTACAATTTCTTCTTTCCTTAAGATTATTAATCTTAAAAAAAGTCAGAGAAAACTCCTCACTGTACCTCTAGGGGACATATTGTAAGCTTTCAAAGTTTACATGAATTTGTGGGTATTTTAATGGATCGAAAGTTGCTAACATTTATTTATTCAGTAGCAGACATCACAGTGGTGAGTGTTAGCTCCCAAAGACAACTGAATATAGTCTTCATTATCAGTTGCTCAGTTATAAAAAAGATTAGGTTTTGGATCAGACCTCAAAACACACAACTGCCTTCAACAAAACACAAGGCAGCAATACATGCACATTATGCTTATTGTTGTGCTTTTACCTTCTGGCTCTGTGGAAGGGTGGAGTAAATTCTTTCTTCACAGAATTTATTCTTTGGTTGTTCAGTTTGCTCCCTTACAGCCTTTTCCATAAGAGAAGGCTTGTGAAAATACTTATTATTGGAAATATTCCTATATAGGTCTTGACAAAGACAACTTGTGTGTTTTCTGCTTTTAGCTTGATGTCACGTCTTCAACTGCCCTTCTTTGCAAGTTTGATATAGAATAGCAGTATACCCATGTGGTGCATGTATATTGCATTTTATGCACCTTAATTAACTAATATTCAGATCCCCCTCCTTTCCCTAGATGGCAATGTTTTCACTTGAAAGAAAGTAAAATCAGTACCTCTCTCACTATTTCTCTAGGTTTTGAAAAACAAACAGAGATTTGATTTACTTCATCAGAAACATGAGACAGCACATTGACTTCCTACTCCCAGTTAATATATCATTTCATGATTAGAAGTTAATCTAAAAGTACAGTGAAAAGTAAAACATTGTGCATTCAGTACCTGAAGTTGAATTTTTGCATCTTTGCTGACACTTTTTGTTCTCCATCGTCTCGTGACTCGCTTGTCTTTCTTTGAAATATCTACACAGTTAGCCTACATTACACAAATAGTTAAAAGCAACAAAGTACTATTAAGTTGATAAGAGCAACACAGACAATACAGCAAGTTAGTAAAGAATTGTAGCATTAGACATGCACAAATTAGAAAGTAAGGAGAAGAACGCTGCTGCCGGGCCCAAAACTGCAGCAGTGATCAGCCATAGCTAACCTGACACTTTTATAAACACATCATACAGTTGGCTCATTTAGCAAAATGACTGGTACACCTTTTTCATGGGTGCACAATATTTAGGAACCGATCTTGAAATCCTCATGGATTTCTTTTGTGGTACTACTCAGATATTTGTGTACTCAAGAGGATTCAGTGAAAAAGGAGGAAAGGATTTATGATTTAGGATGTGCAGTTGCTTTCTGTCAAGAGGTAAACTCAGCCTGAACTGGGAAACAGTCCAAAACTTGGGACCTTTGTACTATGCCCTGTTTTCTAGAGCATGCAACTTCGTCTTTGAGGGTCTTTAGGTCTCCAATCCATAAAAAACTTAAAATGTTACCTTACTCAGCACAACAAAAACTCCTTAAATACAATTGCAATTTATATATCTATTCTATTGTAACAGTTCTCAGTTTTGTTTGGTAATAATTGATTTGTCCTATTTAACGCAAATAATAAATACATCTTCATTATTTTTTATACTTGAAACAGTATAAAACACATGCTTTAAATAAATATATAAGATATAAATTTCACCCAAGATTTACAATGATTTCAGGAAAACATTCTGAGTCAACAGACACCACCTCTATATTTTCCTTAACACAACAACAAATGATTCAGTGTAATGATTTATGTTCAAGCATATTTACCTGCATGTCTGTGAAATTTGGTGCTGATTGAGTTCTCTGTAGTATTTCTAAATTTTGAAGAAGTTTACTGAGTTCCACAAGGTTAGACTGACAATGAGCAAGATCTAACAGATATAAAATAAAAATACATTGAGTGCTTCAGTTCAGACATTTTTTTTGCCATGGTGTCCATTGTTAGCACATTATTGCATTATAAAAGTTAAAAGTCCAAATCCCTTGTAGTAAGACATCTAAGTAAAAATTTTATTTTTAGAGATGTTGAACACTTGTTATTTCTATGGGAGTCAGCAAAAGGTTTGGATCTCAAAAGTTGACCAGATTTGAACAATGACATCCATTAAAAATAACACAGGTTATTAAGATAAATTTTAAAAGTGGCATCCCAAAACATGCAAAGTTCCCACCACATGCATCTGATTACCTGAAGAGCTACTTCACATGCATGCAAAGAAATAACTTAGCACTTTACTGACTTGACTCTTCCTTATTATGTATCAATAAGAAGTTTTGGTGAAAGAAAAAGGCATGAAAGGTAAAGTCTAACCTTCTGCACATCTGTCCATTTCTTCAGAGTCCTGCAACCAAGCTGCTACTTTACTCTGACCAGTAGTGCAGGTGACAGGAAGGCTGTTACTGCAAGGTATAGGAGACTGCCAGGAGTAGTTATTTTGTTGCACCTAAAGTATAATAAAATGCTTAAATTTACTGTTGCTATGCTGCTTTGTCAGTGTAATTACCATACTACTGCAGAACAGAAACCCAAAATATGCATTGTGTTTTCATGGACATCTGTGATTTGGTTTATAGTTCCCCAAGATGCAGATTTCACTGAATAGCATGTTGGAGAACCAAACCAAGAACCTCACAAGTGAACTGTGTTTGCTAACCACTGGTTAGAAAAGTTGTTGTTTAAGAGGAAGAACACCATCAATCAGCAAAGAGATGGGTTTCTACCTGATGACAAAGGCAAGAGCAAACTGTGCCGACGGTGAATTCTTTGCAAGATCTCTACAGCAGCCCATTAATGAAGGCTGCAGTAAGGCTAAATTAGATGGTATTTCAGCAGCACACACTCACAGCTTTTTGCTGGCCACAGGTTCCCACAGTGGAAGGTCCTGTTCTATTGGCATTACAAGAAGAGCCCACTGAAACTCCGCATGAGCAAGTCAGGAGTTTTCAACAACAGAATACTACACACCTTTCCATCTGACACGTTAGCAGCTGGCGAAGACTCTGTAGTAGATGCTGAAGGGAATATATGGAAGCTGGCATCTCGTGGAGATCTCACAATCTCGTTCTGACGGTACAACCGGTGGTGGCGTAATTTTGAAACCCATGCATCGAATGAATCCTGCGACTTTACCTGGAAAAAAATTTACTGTCAACAAAGCAGCAAAATACTACTTTTCTGCACAATCTTTTACAATTCCATTTATTTATATTCTACTGTGGATGAAAAAAATAATACATATTTGAACTTTTTACCTTCAGGTGATAGATGTGTTCTTCTGTGTCAAGATCTATTCTACGAGCCTTTTTTTTTATAGACATGACTGATAAACCGACATCAATGCTCCCATGGACTTTTCCTTTCTGTATCTAAAAATAAAAAAAAAAAATTAGGAATGTGGAAGCATCATGCACTTATTCACCATATTTAACAGAAAAATGTCTAATGCTGAAATGGTTTCCCATTCTATAAACATTTTAACACAAAGCCTTATTAAAAAAAAAAGCTGAACTCAGACTAAACACTTACTATATTTATAGTCAGAGAAAAGTATCTCACAAGAAATGCTCAATGCAAAGACAACTCCAAAGTTTAAGTGTTTAAGTTCACATGAGTACACAGGTATAGCTAAGTGAGAAACAGAGAATATTGGACAGTACTTGGCACCTGCTGCAACTGCTTGATAGTTATTGGTATCAGATCTAACTAATTTAATGTTAACCTTTACATTTCTAGAGTACATTGTTATGAATTCTCTGGCCTATCCATGTGTCTCAGAATAATCAGCTTTAACTGACATAAAAATCGTGAAGGAAAAATAAATGGTCAGGTTAATCTCTCAAGCACCTTCATTAAAGAAACTACTTTAGGTGACATAGTCTTTCTTTCCATAGAAGTAAAAAAAAGGTAGAAGTCTTGAGGCATAACTCAACCAGAATTTTACGTGCTTTCCATATATATATGTATATCTCTATATCTGTCTTTGACGTGTGTACTGTCATAAATACAGTCATGTATTCATGTCACAGATATATATATCTATATCTGTCGTTCAAGTGTGTACTGTCAGAAATACACCTAGAGTGAGTGTGAGACCCTGGCAGGCTGAATTCCAATAAAAGTTTCAAAATGCTCTTCAACTTTACTTACATCAATTGGTGACTTTGAATACTTCAGCATTCCATTATCCAGAACAAAAAATCTCTGAAAGAAAAAGAAACAAACAAACAACAAAAAACCAACATTCTTTCTTAATGAGCAGATGCAATTTAAACTATGTACAACAATTCATCTGGAAAAGAATTACCCTGTAGTAATTATGGAATTGCTTGGGGGTTGGAAGGAGAGTATAAATATAGTATTGAATAATTTTCTTGCCTGTTTTTTGACAATTATCTTCTAAGCAAGAAAAACTAGATCCTCTTTTTTTAACATGATATTCTAGGTTTATCTTAGCAAACTTCAATAATGAAGGGTAGTTTTTTCCAATTTTCCATCCAATTCAATAAACTCTAAGAAAGACACTCTAGGACAAGAGAATCATGTCTTCTTCCTGTTTTTCTTCCCACAGAAGGTGGCCATGTTTCAAATTAACAACCTACTTTCCCCTATCCAGAAACTGAAAAGCTTTTCCTAGTGCAAGATCTACATCTGAAAAGGCAGATCTTTTAAGAGACACTGCTCTACCATGCAAAACTTTGTGCCTTATGGCAGACCTCCACACAGTGAAGTAAAGATGAGATTGTAATTCATGCTGATGATACCTTTTCTAGCAGTAATCTAGGTAATACAGGAATTAGTAATAGGGCAAATATTACAGCATTCCCAGCAACAGACCCAGGTCACGGGAGGACCCATTTTTTGGGTGTTAGTGGTACAGTGTGAGCTCCTATATCTTCACTGAGACAGTTAGCAGGACTAGCCTAACCTAAAGATGCCAATCTGTGCTGTTGCTACACCCTTATTTTGCTGAGCAGTTCTTACTTTCAGCAGAGAGAAGAATTCCCTATTCATGCAGTTAAAGCTGCCTTAGCTTGTCTGTACCAGATCAGTCAAGTTTACGTAGACTTCGGCACATAGCATAAAGACACAGCCTAGCACAACACCTAGACTTGAAAAGAGATTCGCTAACTTGTGTTTATCATCACTTGCTTTCAAAGTAATCACTTGCAAAGTAAGCACAACTAATTCCTATTTTTGGAGTGTAAGCTAAAGCACTAACCTAAGTTAAAAAGCCAGAACACAGCAAAATACTATGCTTGATTCTCAAAGTTGTTAGCCATGGAAGGGAAGGAAAGTGGTTTCATGATGTAAACCTGTTAAATTAACACTATGAGTAGGGTCACAGTTCGATGGCAGAAAATCTCCCCTGAAGGTGGTTCTAGAAATTATGTCAGTTACACAACAGATGGTACCAAAATCTCAAGCAGGGCAAGAAAACAGTGCTTTCCTGGAGGCATACCTCATTGAATAAGATGTCAAAACAACAAGAACTTTTTTGGTTTGTTTTGTTTTTTACCTAGGTATGGTCATTAATGAACTTCACAAGAATATGATATTCATTTCATACTGATCTGTCCCTCTAAGCTGCACACACAAAAGAAAATGATCTTTCATCATCATTTCATTCCAAGCACACTGCCCTTCAGAAAGTGGTGTTTGCCAAGTTGCACACATTATACCTGGTGTGCTACTAAAGCACATTCAAAACTGTCAGAATATGACATGCAACATGCAATAGACAAAGGATGCTATCTACTACTTTGCTATGCTACCTATGGCTTTGCTATCAGAACACTAACAGAGCACATGCTACAATTACTGTCTCCTAAATTCCTCCACTGGACTCTGGGCACATAGTATTGTTACAGAAACTCCATGATATTCAGGCAGCAGTTGAAAAACAAACAAAATTACTAGCAAACCCACAGCTTCAAACCCTAAGTTCAGCATAGCTCCTAAGGTGAAACGTAAGGCAAAGTAGAGGGGGATGGTAAAATGTGAAGCTCTTAATCACACTAAAAATTATTTACACAGGTAACTGCTCTAAGATCATCCATAGTGATCTCTACAGAACTGTGAAAGCTGGATTCCCCTTGCTCTCCTATAAATTAGTTCCTTACCAAAAGAGACACTTGGTAGCCAAACAACATATTATCATAATGTATTTTAAAGGAGTGGGAGTAGTGGTTTATTCCACAAATTCTTATGTATCTCTTAGTTGTTTTGATTTTTTTTTTCCCCAAGAATGGAGGTGTTTTGTTGGGGGTGGAGGGTTGGTATGCTTTTTCATTTGGGGAGAGGGGTTTCTATAGGCAATCCTTTTCTGTTCTTTCAGTGTTTCAGCTATGTCAGTCTGAAATCCTTTAATATCTCTAGACTAAATTCAGGTGGTGCATTTGTATTTGGCTGCTGAAACTACAAACTCTAGTTAAGAAAAACAAAACCAAAACATCTAACACAGATAAGCATGCACAAAAAATTGTGGTAGGCATATGTTTAATTTAGTACAACATGCAGAACCTGTAATTTATACTACTATGGACTACATTTGGACTCAGACGTAAGTTCCACAGTGTACAGAAAAAAGAAAAAAGTTAATGCTTCCCAGAAAAAACACCATGTATAGCAAACGATTTCACTATCTTTTGCTGTAAAATGTACTCTGTCCCAGAAAATTATCCTGATTCAAGTACCCTCAGGTAAAAAAAGATGGGTGAGAATTGATACCACATATCTTGTTGCCTAAAAAGGGGGAAATGCAGTTCTTATTGTATGAAATACAGACAAAAGAGTTTAAGAACACCAGGTTTAAGGCTAACAAAAGGTAGAATCGTGCATGAAGATATGTGTCCAAATTAACTAAAGGGAACTAGAACACTTGGGGGTGAGTTTTGGGGTGTTTTTTTTTTTAAATAGAGACATACTATGGCAAAAATCCATATTCCCACTGCATACCCACAATGAAGATTCTAATCAAGATTCAGGACAAAGCTGAACAAATCTGCTCAGTCAGCAGATGTGTAGAGGAAAGCTCTCCTGTAAGAACATCTTGGGTCCATGGAAAACCCCTCAGCTCTCCTCTGCTATGCACTTCATTGTAGATCTTATGTACTTCAACCTCTTAAAACACAAGGCATTTGTTGCATTATTTACAAATTCCATCTGGATTTTGAATAGAACAGTAGGCAGTAGGCACCATGGCTTGAAAGCCATGAGCTGCATCTGCAAATTAACTCTATACACAGGTGAAAGAAAAAGTCACACACCAAAATCCTGGGTATTTATTTGACATCCTAATTTCCTCTAGACAAAAAAGTCCCAACACATAAAATAAGGTAATAACCTTCTGACTGGTTTATGAGATATTTACCTTGTGCCAACCTTTTAATGGCCATTTTCTCTTTTTCAGCATGAAACCTTCATGTTTGTCTGGCTTCTGGACATTGGTCTGGCCTATTTTCAGACCCTCTATGATTTCCCAGCTGTCAGGTTCCTGGCGAAAAAATATGAAGACACATTGATTAACACATGGTGAAAAATTGCACTTACAAGTAGCACAAATTCTCCAATGCAAGACAGAGTAGGAGAGCAAGGTACATAGCTACACTATATTATGCCCAGCTGTATCTCATTTTAAACTACTAAATATGAACATTTTGGGAAGTCTAACCCTTACTAGGTAAGGCATACATTAACAGTGGTCTTTGTGGTATTTCTTGATCATAAAATGCTTAAAATTTTCTGATCTTTAAAGTACAAGCTGCATTGGTTCTGAATACCCTAGTTTTTCCTCCAAATCAGAAAAGCTGGAAGAAGTTTCTTTATTGTTGATTTTGAATGTAGCTGGTGAGCATCTTCAAAGGCATTTTATGAAAGAGTTTCATAGACTAATTGTGCCTTCAGAAATCTGCATAAGCATTTTTTTTTATTTTCCTGCATTCATTTTCACTGTATTATGAGAAATTTATAGGAAAGTTAACTAATTTTCTCTCTAGAGAAAAACACAGGAACAGTATCATTTCAGATACAAGCAGTTGTATGCCTTTCAGGCAGCCAATTAAAGCATATTTCTTGTACATACTGATTCTTATGCATGGTGACTGGTGCAACTCAAGCCGGACTTAAAAATGCAACATAGTGAACCGTAAAGAACAATATTTTTAAAGAGAAAAAACCTGAGTCATGCCTATATTTCTACCATCTTGCTTCTACTGTAATCAACAGAATTCTGCACCAGTTTAAAAATCTTATTGCCTGCTCACTCAGACTCTATTTTACTAATTATACCCTACAAATTCATAAACTTGCATTTTCTCAGCTGATCTGTCACAACTCCCAGCAATGTTATAAAAAGTTATCAAGAAAGGAAGAAGGTCATGTAGCATCAAACATTTAAAGGGAAAAAACCCTGTCTCTTCATTTCCCACAAAACTGTTTGAAGACAAGTACTGTCAGTCTTTCATAACACCTCCAAGTTAATTACACAGCTCTGATAACACCAACATTACTATTATGAAAATAGAATATCAAAGGTAACAGCAAATTTCAAATCTACAATTTTCAGTGTTCTATGACAAATAATACACACTGCAGTAAATTTTCATAGAAATCTTTTATTCAGTTTAGTTTTCCCTGCATAACCATAAACGTTAATTATCCCATTGTTTGTAAATGTCATACTCAAACCCCACCTTTTTTACTTCCCTATGTTTTGCTTGAATATTCTATTTCCATTCCATAGAGAGAAGCACATATACATTATTTTTTCCATTTAAAGAAGTACTTGGCACTTGAGGGGGGCAAATTAAACTACTGTAAGACCCCTGGGGTGAGCAGAGAGTCTCTCTGGGACTCTGCCAACTGATTCTTCACCATATTGATTTCTCCCTTAGATGATCAGATGCAAGCATAAGTCTTTTATCTACTCGATAACATCGGTATTGATTGCTTCTCAGCTAGAGATCACACAATCTCATATAGCTATTCATTTAAACAAAAGGCCAGCTATAGAGGGATAAAATGAACAATTACTTACTGTACTGTGGATACTTGTCTTCTGCTGCATCACTGCTACAAGCTGTTCTTAAAACCATTCTAACAATCCTAACTGTGCCTCATCCCACAGGTTTGGTGTGATGAGATATGCCCAATACAAGGGACATTATGAAAGAGCAGCCAGAAATGGGGAAAAAACAGAGTGAAAGCAGTATGTTGAAGAGTTCTCATTCAGTGGCAATCAGTACTTTAGGGCTTCAGTGATACCATATATATTATGTGAGAAACAGCCCCGTGCAAAGCAGCAGGACTGGGGGAACACCACCACAACTTTCCATCCCTGGGTCTGCATATAGTCCATGTATGGGAATTAAGGAAGCCACTACCAACAGCTTTATGAACCTAGTCCTTTTAACTGCAAAATATTTGTTTTCCAAATAAAAAATAAAAAATTTAATTTTGAAGTTGTTTTATCAGTTCCGTTTCAGACCTGACAGACATCTAATTTCAGATTTTTCTTTTCCACCAAGTAATCCACAAATACCACAGCATCTTTTTTAGTAATAATCTTGCTTTTGCATATGAAGTGTCTTAAAATGAAGCCTTCTTTATGTGGAATTTGACTTGTTTGGTATCACTTATTCCAAAACTGAGGAATTTACCCAGGAAGGAGCTGACTTCAAAACACCACACAGAAGGCTCCAGCTTTCAGGAACTGGTGGAGTCATTCCTGCAGCTCTCTTTCTCTCTGCCTCAGGAAAGATGGTCTCAACAAGAGATTTGAAATTTCAAACTACCCACAATGAATGTCATTAGGACATATTTTTAAAACTAATATAATCATTGATCAGCAGCAATTCTAGACTTGGAAGTGCTTTGCTCTACAGTAGTAAGGGACAGGAATGGAAAATTTCTCATAGTCACAGAATCATAAAATCTCCTGAGTAAGGAGGGACCCACAAGGATCATCGAAGCTCCTTCTATCCCATACTCTGAGATTGTAAAATTTGTTCCTGGGGGCCATCCATGCACAAGAAAAAAAAAATCCTTGATTTTGTTAATATAACAACTACTAAAGATTAGTCTCCTCTGACACCTCGGTTATGAAACAAAAGGCTCCAGGGCTCACAGTATACTCAATGGTAGGATCATACAAAACATTATTCCAGAGCTGTTAGTCAAATTGTCTTGTAACTCCAGAGGGAAGCTCATCACCCAGATTACATCCAATGCTTTTGCTTACCTTGGATAGAGAGATATGATCGCTTTCAAGGAACTGCTTGCTTAGAGAAGGGTCAGTGCTTCCTGAAGATGCCTTTCGCTCCAAAATATGAACACTCTAAAAAAAACCCCAAAATTAAAGATAACACCATGGCTCAAAATGTAGAAAATGCTACCCACCCATGACTTAAACGTACAAATAGTTCGTCTTCTGAGGCAATATACTTCTCTTTCTTTTTTTATTAATGGTTTTCAAACTGATTGCTCTTGTTAACCTAGAAATGATGTTTAACTTAAAAAAAGCCAGGAAAGACAAGTAATGCAGTTCTTACCTACACAAATGTGAAGTGCTCCTATTATGTTTTTTGCTAATATACAAGACACTGAGTACAAATATCGTGCAGTCAGCACTGCCCTGCATTCACTTCTGAAGCAAACCACAGCACATAAGATATCACTGTCACTAACATATTCATTATCAACCCTTAGCATTTTGTTATTGGCTTATCAACTGAGGTGAAGTAACTAATTACATGACTACTTTTAACATATTACAGGTGTTAACAAGATCAGTTACTGTGTTTCAGCTGATGGGCTTGCTAGTGAACATTTATGGAACACTGTGATCTCAAACCATTGCAGCTGTTTTTACATCTGACAACACTACTACATTTTATATCTTCAAAGCATGTCATAAAAATGAAATACATAATGTCAAAACTAGTCCTGAAAAACTACTGTTCTTAAAAGACAAATGTCTTCCCATTTTCCAGAAATGTTTCACTATTATTTTATAAAAGTAAAATCATTTTTGATAGAGGAGAAAATAAGCACATTCTTAATGCTTGGATCTGCATTTCACTCTCTGGTGAAATTTTGCTACATCTCATACTCTTATTTGGTAAGAATGTTACCGCAACATGTCAATAGTATCTCTTTGGCATAAAATAAAACTACTTCATTTCCAGGACATAGAGCACAAATGACAAACACAATTGCCATATACCCTCTGAGAAGGGTTTTTCTCAACCGAAAGTGCCAATTACATTTGGTTCACAATTAAGCTTCTTTACATTGACTGAAGAAGAGATTACATTGGTACCTGTGACAACAGAAACAATCAGAGAATATAAAAACACATATAAACTGTAGTGTAAATATTTCTGTCTATACCAACAACTAAGTACATAAGGACCATAACCAAAATAAATGAAAATAAACACAGCTATTCATTTAAATACATATACAACACAGACCCCATCTTACATACCATACAACAGTAATCAGCATTTATTTTCAGTTGCTTTCAATTAAATTTTACATCAAAGAATGTGGAAAAGCAGCAATATTATGTTACTCCAGGGCCAACCAGCAAAAAGCTTTGTCATTTATGCTTTGAAAACTTCTGCTTTGTCAAAGAAAAGCCAATCTTATAACTCAGTCCAATGTATTTTACTTGTCAGATGAAGAAAAACTTTTTTTTAATGTAGTACATGATACATGTAAAATAATTTAATACCCTTATTTGAGCTGAGAACCACAAAGTTCCTAATGATAAACAATGATAAGATTTCTCACTGAATAGAGAAAATGTACACAGTATCACATTTTAACAATATACAAGAAAACCTAAACCTGTTCCTCTGAGGAAGATTAAAATGCCTCTTGATTACCATAATCAGGACGATTCCCAACTTTCTTGCCAGTTTTGTCTGGCAGGCAGGAATTCATCCATCTTGAGATGGAGCAATGCCCAACACAGATGTTCTGAAGGTCTCGTATGCAGCAGCTGGTGCAGTTTGTTGTTACATAACTGCAATTTCATTTTGTACAATATTTAGAGAAGAGTAACCAACAGCCCTTATCTTGCCAGATTTCCAGTGACATTTTCAATTGCATAATTTTAAGGCAAGGAGGGTTCGTCCCCTTTTTTTTTTTTTTTAAATTAGCCCTCAGTCATTACAGTTCCACTTCAGTTGAGAAATACATTATTAGCTAACAGCACTTTAATGAACGCTGACTTACTCAACTATTTGTTTGAAAATTAGAAAATGAACACTTTTTAAATAAAATTGCCTTCTTTACATTCCTTACTTCCAGAAGTGTTGGCTTGTTGCCTTTTGTATGTTTGCTTTTCAATTCTTTTCTTTTATGACCACCATTACACTGACACAAAATCAGTTTTTTAGATTTGTGACATGTGTCTAGCATAATATTAAGAGACATTACTTGGTGCAAAATGTTTTCCATTAATGCATGTTATTTTTCTGCAAAATTACACAATCACTTGACATTTTGAAAAGCAGCTAATTTCACAGAGCAAGAGTTTAGTTATTTAGCATTACAGAAATAAAAATTACTTATATCCTGAAGTTATTATCAAGGGTTTTTTGTGTTTTAATGTAAAAAACAGAGTTGGTAAAGGAAGCAGTAAAAAAAAATTGATAAGAAGAAATGGAAGAAAGAGGCAGATCAAAACATCTTCTGGGACTTGTTTATAACCAAACAGAAAAATGAATAAAAAATTCCATTAAACTAGATATATCAAACAATCTAGTACTCCCATTCCTCTCATCCCAAGAATACAGGCAGACAAAAACAATCACCACATTGCTGCATTCCAGACTTCCTTCATGTTTCAGAATTACCTGTGCTGGTCTGCCTTGGAGGAAAACATCAGCATTATTAAATTCTGTGTGCTCTTCAAAATTAATTCAACAGAATTACAAGTTTAACTACAATTAGTCCGTAATGCCATTGCTAAATCTTAGTCTAAGTACAATCTTTCCTCTAGCTTTGTGATTACCCACAACATACATTACATATGTGAGCACACATTTGCCTCAAAATGCCCCCAACAAACCAATGTATGGGGAACACAAACGCTTGTTCTGCCCTGCCTTTTCCATTTGCTTCCCAAAGACATGTGACAGAGAAGAAAATTGATGGAGAAAACAACAGTATGATGTTGTATCATATTCTCATCTTCTCTGGAGGGCAAGAATGGAAAACATTTTACAGTATCTTTCCATGTATCTTGCCAACTTCTTTTCTCAGTTTGCAGTTCAATGAGTCACACACCTCGTTGTCCCAGTTTTGGCTGGGATTGAGTTCATTTTCTTCCTAGTTGCTGGTATAGTGCTGTGTTTTGGACTTAGTATGAGAATAATATTGACAGCACAGTGATGTTTTGGCTGTTGCTAAGTAGCGTCTACACTAAGTCAAGGACTTTACAGGTTCCCATACTCTGCCAGTGAGGAGGTGCACAAGAAGCAGTGAGGGAGCACAACAGACAGCTGACCTTGTCAAGGGGATATTCCATACCCTAGAATGTCATGCTCAGTATATAAACTTGGGGGTAGTTGGCCAGGAGGGGCCAATCACTAGTTGGGGACGGGCCGAGCCGCAGTCAGCTGTCAGTGAGTAGTTGTATTGGGCATCACATGCCTTTCTAGAATTTCTTTTTCTCTTTCTTGTTCTTCCTTTCCATTACAATCAGTGTTAGATTTTATTTCAGTTATTAAACTGTTCTTATCTCAACCCTCAGGTTTTACCTCTTTTTATCCGCGGATTCTCCTCCCGATTCCACTGGTGAGGTTGGTCTCCCATCAGGCCAGAGGCTGAGAACCCTAACTTCTAGTCACTCAATCTGACTTCCCATTGAAACAAAAGACATTTAGCTGTTTCCACATGGAATGCAAGGGAAGAAAAGATATTTTGAAGAAGGAGAGACAGGAAATCAAGTGAAGGACAAGTCTGGTACACATGCCTCCCCTTTCTGCTTCACTGCTTATTTACTTAATGGAATGAATTATATTTAATACAAAGACTTCTCTGTATTTTATAATTCATTATTTTCCAAAAAAAAGACAGGCTGGTGAGGAATTTATCACTCCCATTGGACGCAGACTCTCTGTAGTTCAGAAATGTGCACAACATGTGGTTAACAGTTAATTAATGAAAAAGATCTGTTGGGACACTTTGTTTGTTCGTAGCATTTTAGCAGTCTTCAACAACCATGGTGCCTAGACACACAATTTTCTACAACAGTAATTCAAAAGAGAGCTTTTCTCTCTGTTTTGTGTGTGTGTGTGTGTGTGTGTTGTGTTTTTTTCAATCCAAAGAACTATTATGTCTTTTATTACCTGCTATTCACTGCATCCTAGCAAACCTGTGTTCCTATTTGAATCCCATTTAGTACAAAGTGCAGTGTTCAATCACTTTCTCTCAACTAAAAACATATTATTTTCCAGTTATCTGAAACACAGCAGAAGTAATAAGATAGACACAGATTTGACTGCATACATACCATTTTTACTACCTTTTAAACAATCTGTGATACACGCTGAGTTAACCTGCAATATTATTTGCAAAGGGAATAACCTTGAAATTTGCTTTTATCTTAGGCTGCTTCTCAGTCAACTCTGGCTTTCCTTCTGTTGATGTTGGAATAAAGATAGGTTCTTGAATACAACTGTGAGAGAAGGGTGAGCACAAAGCAAAACAACCATATCTCCTCAACACATTTCTCCCTTCTTTCTTCTTACACATTTTTTTAATTCTTATAAAGCATTCATGGTCCTATTCTCACCCTACGTCTCTCTTACTGACACTGCTCTATAGTTGTTTTCAACAATTTCAGCTGTCAACTAACCAACAAAGGAACTTAGTAACACTTTATGAATAGCACATGGACTTAATTTTTTTTTTTCTTGTAATACATGCTCATCTTGTATGGAAATGTGCTTCAGAGCAACATTTTCTCTTTCCAACCTTTTTACTGAAAGACAAGTAAATATAAGAAGCAGTTCTGTGGCATATGAATAATATACAGGTATGTATGCCTACTTCTTTCCTGGGATATGCAAACACAAAATAAACACTGCTTGTGTAACAGAAATGTCAAGGATTTGTTAGCTCAGGAGCTCTATGTCAGCTCTTGCTAGAGCTCCAGCTTTGTATTATACTTCATGTCAATGCTTTTAGGCTCTGGAAGCAAAGAAGCCTTTGGTTTTCAAAGTACTTTTTGACAAAATCTGAAGAGAAGTAAGCTCTTGCTCCACTGGATAAAGGAGAAAAGAGCTATCATTGTAACAGCAACCTTCCCTTTGCCAGAAC